TGACTAACAGACTCTCAGGATACTCGCGCGTCTTCCTCGCCTTGATTTCACTCTACTACATGCCCCTCCACCCGCGTACATGCACCCTCCTCTACAGCATATCCTGCCTGCTCGATGCGCTCGATGGATACGCGGCCCGATCATATGAGCAGAGCACCAAGTTTGGTGCCGTGCTAGACATGGTGACGGACAGGTGTACAACAACCTGCTTGCTTGTCTTCTTGGCGCAGGCTTTCCCTCGCTTCAGCATCGTCTTCCAGGGCCTTATTTCGCTGGATCTGGCCAGTCACTACATGCACATGTACGCGACCCTGAGCATGGGTGGCAGCGACCAGAGCCACAAGAACGTGGACGAGAGCAAGGGTTGGCTGATGAAGCAATATTACTCCAACAACGTACGTCCTACCCGGCTGATATCTCGTGTGTAGCACAAGCCACAAAGCCTATACTAACAACTTTGACAGAAAGTTCTCTTCACCCTCTGCTTCATGAACGAAATGTTCTTCATCGCCCTCTACCTCCTCTCTTTCAGCTCCCCGCTCCTCTCACCCACCCTGTTCTCCGACCTCAACAACCCATCCTCCATCCAGCCCGGTTCGCCTGCCGCTCCTAAACCCTCCATGTTCTTCGCCAGTCCTTTCTCCGCCGCAGCCATGGAGATGGCTCGTGCCAACAAGATGGACTCGACGGTCCCGTGGATCTGCATGCTTACCTCGGCTCCCTTTATGGCTATCAAGCAATGGATCAACGTGGTACAGATGGTCAAGGCGAGTCAGTGGCTTGCTGAGGGTGACAGGAAGGCGCGGAGGAAGGCGGGTTTGCCTAGGAGGGGTTCCAAGAAGAGTCAATAGATGACTTGTGACATGTGACAAGGCATGAGACTGGCGAGTTACACGTATGGAGCCGGTAAAGGGGCTCACTGGTTGAGGAGACGTGCCGCGCGCCGAGTGATATTTTGGCGGCTGCACCTGCAGACTTTCTGCGTCCACATTCGGCGCATTTCATTCTCACTTTTTCGTCCATCTACTCATATTGTAGTGATCTGCGACTTCACTTGTTTGTTTTACTCCTCCATTCGCTTTCAGCTCAAACTTTTCTTGTACGATTGCATCTTTGCCTCTCAACAGAAGGGCCATACGGCGCGAGATGAACATGTACTCTATAGAGTTACATAATAATACGTTTGTTTTCACTGCATGAAAACCATCCGAAGCTGAAATTGCGATTTTCATTGCGCTATGAATAGTCTGTGGTCCTCTAGTTCTTACTATACCGTCTGTTTCCGTCAATACAACAACAATACGCAACTCATGCAATCATGTCAAATCCGCTCCAGCCCGTCCTTCCATTCAATAATCTCTTTCTGACGGGAGGAACACCGACGCTCACGTCGCCTAACTTGATTTACTATTCTCTGGCCTGACCCTTCTCAGGCTCCTCTGGTTTGAGAAGCCTTTCTCTTTGCATATCCATAGTGATGCTAGCCGCGTGGACTGGATGAGTTTGAGGAATTCTATTTCCCCGAAACACGTCCCGCCCGTACTAGATCTTGGAATGCTGATTCCAGGGCTCGCTTCACTTCGCGGTAGCTGACTATCAGCACATTTTGCTCGTCGCGGCTGACGAGCGGTATCTTCTCATCGGTTCCGGCGTCTAGTTTGTTCAAGCAATCCAAAACATGCGCAAGGTCTGTGACGGGGTGTCCGTTGGCGTCTACCTGGTGGAAGACATAGTCGCGGAACAACTTGAGGTAGTAGCGCTCTCCCGTTTCTGCCCATACTGAAGATGGGTTTGGGCCGTTGTTGCCCGGCATACTCTGTGAGGCATCTAGCTCTGGTCGCTCATTAATCATGTTGAGCTTGACAAGCAGACGGACCAGTCTCGAAGATTCCAGCTCTTTCCCAAGATTGACTGTAAGTGTGTCCTGAGCGTGTAGCTCACTGTCAAAGACTGATGCGAATTGATCGGCAATGCCACCCAGGAAGGTGTCAATGTCTTTCTGCATTGGCGCTGGCGTAGTTGGAGAAGATGGTGTTCCTGGTGCCGGTTGGGGGTTGAGCAACCATTGCACGCACTCTTTAAGGCGGGCTGTATAACTTCTAGTGATATAGTCCATGGACTTTTGCATCTGCAAATGAGCTGTAGCGTTATTGTTGGCAATGCAAAGTATCAGCCGTCCCAGCTGCACCAGGTCATCTGCTTGAAGTTCAGGCACAGGGCGGGCATTGTCAAATTGAACAATGTCCATGATACTGCATGCATTCAGTCGTATCCGGTTTTTCGAAGTCAGTAGTATCTTGGATGGTGTGATGAGGCGCGCTGCCAGACCCGAACCGTGTATGGCTCTAAGAGCCGACGCGATCTGAACGATATAGCCCCATAGGACTTGCTCCGGAACATGTGATGATGCTGGCTGCCTGCCGTGGAATCGCTGTACTGGTTTGAAATGCTCATCAGCCAGTGACTTTGAGTTTGGATGATAATCTGTGACCAGAATCAAAGAGCTGTCACCGAAAGCTCGAGTGGTGAAGGCTTCGTGGATTGTAACCACGCTGCCATTCAAGACGCGTTTCCATGGCTGAGCGGAGCGAATCGCAGTCTCACTTGTAAGGCGGAAATTTTCGAGACGGCGTAACGCATAGGTCTTGCCATCTTTGCTGGAAACAGCTTTGTAGATCCAGCTAGCGTACCCGAAAGGTGCAGTATTTTTCTGTGGTGACATGTCCAGGCAGAACAAAGAGTGAAACTGCTCAATGACGGGTAAAGTACTGTTGGGTGCGGCCTGCCGTGCAATATCCGCCTTCTTCTGCAGCTCTTCCCTTAGTGCGTCAGGGATGAAAAAGTCATGAGCAGTACGCTGGTATGCGAGTAGCCCTGTTGGCTGTGGTCCTACCGGCCAGTACAGATGGTAGGCAGGGGTCTGGAAGGCATTGGCATTTTGAAAATACGTCGTCGATGCATCTTGTGCATATGGATTAATGGTAGCAGCCTGGTGAGTTGCACCAGTGAGGGTAGAGATGCTGGACGGAGTACTGAATGGATCGTAGCCAAGGTTGGATTCGACCTAGGGCGTTGTAAGTCGAGAACAAGGTGGGAGAAGGTGCTCCAATATCACGAAAAGATGACGAATATGTTCAAGTAAAGTCACGCACCATCTGCTGGCCCTCAAAAGACTGCGGGACGAACTCTTGAAAGTCTTGCGAATGCCAATCGATTGCGGGCTCTTTCGCGTGCATATGCGGGGTGGTGACGGCTGAGGTAATCAGCATGTGTAGAGAGACGGTACTGGCGATTGTTCAAGAACTCACTGGAGCGTTGCGATTTGGGGGTAAAGACGGCAGCGTTGGCAGCCTTGGGCGAGATGGTGGCGCTGCGAGAGGATGGAGTTACGGACCCATTGGTACTTGCCTGCAGCGGGGTAAAGGAAGGAGAGTCGACATTGAACCTCTTTTTTGCATTTTCATTCTGGCCCAACTTGAGGTTGTCGTGGATGTAGGGACAGGCTAGACTCGGGTCACCAAAGCATTCGGCCGATGCAGCCACCAAGACTTACTGTTTTCATAGCGGCAGTGTCCGTAGATGGTGACGTTGCGACATAGGGTGTTCTTCGCTTCTGGGAGGGCCAGTCAGACTTGCCATGTAGTGTATATATATAGGTGTAACTGCGTCATACCGCGTCCCTTAGGGCGAGGAGAGACTACTCCCCGTCGCGAATCACCCGAAGGACCTCCAAAGGTTGTTGCCATGAATCGCGTTTGGCTCGCCAAAGCGCTGGTGGTAGCGAGAGAGGGTTGCTGGCGTGTCTTGGACGCAGTCTGGGGGGAGCGAGCGGCGCTCTGGGCGGACTCTGCGGGTGTCGAGGTGGGCGGTTTGCGGTCGGAGCCGATATCATCTGAAGAGGCGGGCGGCCTACTCCATCTGCCCACAGACTTGGTCGAGTGTTTCCGCCTGTTGTTGCGCGCCGGCTTCTGGGGCGTGGTAGGGCCGTTGCGCCCTGGGGGGTTGGGGAGGGAATCCCGTGACGACGACGACGTCAACTCGGAGATAGATTCAGTTGCGGAGGACCCAGAGCTGGCAATGGCAGTCGCATGTGCATGTGCCCTGGCTGCGGAATAGACAGCGGGTCGGTTGTTGGTGGGCGAAGCGTGCGGCGCGCCTTTGTCCGGCGGCGATGCAGGCTGAATGATGGGCAACCTGTTGCCGGTGTGGTGCGAAGTCCCTGCGAGCACATTAGAGAGCGAGCCCATCAACGGCGACAGGTCGTAGAGGGCCGACGCAGACGGCTCCTGGACATGTCCAGAGCCGCCGGGAGACATGGCGTGCGGGATGTTTCGCGATAGCGGACGGGTGGCATGGAGCGGGCGGGACAATTGGAGGAGTACCTTTCGGAATTGCGGGCTATGAGCCACCCCCAGCGAGTCCAGCGTCCTGTAGGAGCAGCAGTCGCGTCTCCATGAGCAGGCACAGTCCAAGAGTCGAGGCAGACTAGACGAGCAGGCGCGCTGAATGAGTGAGGTGTGATAGCTGAGACGTAGCCATCCTATCAGCATTCACCCGCCTTCCCTGCAACTGCTGTTTGCCGTGTTTGCAGTCAGGAGCCGCTTAGTCACGCTGCTTCCCATCGGCATCTCGGCATCTCCCACGACAACTCCATCGTCCCCCAACTCAAGAATGGCGAGTTGGGAACAGCCAAGACGACAGCTGGCGCAACTGCTATGCCGAGTATTCTGCAGGTTGACCCAGAATAGTAAGCAATGTTTGTGACAACTATGGCAACAACGACCGACTTGGTTCTGCCATTGCGACTTCCTCAATGGTTGTTGCAACAACGACACTTGGGAAATGGCAATCTTTGGTGAGCTCAGGCCGTCTGTCCAAGGTTTCGATTTTCAATTCACTCTCACCTTCACCCCGCCGACCAATCAGTCTTTTCTCAGCCTTAGAAATTCTCGCTGTCAGCTTTTTCAATATCCGCCCACCTCCCCTAAACTCCATTCGAGATGGAGTATAAGACCCCCGTTCCACCACAAGCCAGCTATGGGGAACCCGCGAGTAATCAGCAGGCCCAATTTTCCATCGAGCCTTGCGCTGCTATACTCCGCCATGATGGTAATTTCCGGTCAGGCATGTTTCATCTGTAAGTTCCACTGTGCCAAGTGCATGCGAAACATACACTGACTTTGTACGCCCTTGTTCAGACTCAAATGCGGCCATATCGTCGCTATTGATGGAGGAGATACACGCTGCGGCATCAATTGTCAAGAGATCGCCAACAGCGCCCAAAGCTCTACCTTGTATGCGCGTGACAGAACCTACATGGTCAAGTTGATCGCTTATACATCCTCTCAGTCTGACGACCCGAGACCTCCTGTCTTTGCCTGAGGTGCAGCGCCCTGATTTCCTTTACTGCGAGGTTTGTCAAGGCATACCCTGGGACAACTACAGAAGAATGCAACCACCTTCCGACGACCTCCCACGTAGTACCATACTCATGCCCCGGCGCTGTATCGGTCTTACACGTGGGGAGATAGTAGCAGCTATTCGAGTTCCGCACGTTGGCGTTGAGGCCTTGTTGGCTAGCCCATTCCCCAGTTCCGACTGCTACGCACACAATCTGTGCTGTGGCCACAGGGTCTGGTGCGCATATTCACGAAACTGTGCTCGCAATTGCAACGATGACTGGCCTTGTAACGAAGAAGGCGTTCGACGCCTCCTGATGAAGCAGGCTGACATTATTTTTTGTGAGGAATGCGTCTTCAGAGCAGAACGGGTCCATGCGAAGTGGGAGGCGGCGGCGGCGGCGGCGGCGGGAGGAGTGTCGTTGGATCTCACGTTCGGCCGTCAGCCGCATGGTTGAGACGACTTGTAGCCTGAAGTTCTTATGGTAAAGTACATTTTCATCACATTGCCCAGCGGCTCCCGAGCTTTCATGTCATAAATTTCTCTAGATTACGAGAGTTGGCCTGAGAGGTCCAAAACAATTTAACTTCTCATTGTCCCATTACCTCTCTACCACGGGTGTGCATGACAAATCTCCTCGGGTGATGTATCTGACAAGGTTAAGCCCTTGCTCTCATTCCAAAAGGCCCAATCTCTTTCATTGTCGGGTTGCTGTTCGACCCATTGGCAGGCCTATACTGCTCCTTTTTTCTCTTACCAGCTATTTGCGCATCCTATTGGTCCCCAGCCGCAACCTCACCGTGTTATCTACTGCAGCCTAGTATAGCTAGACTCATCGAGCGATCACCACTCACATTCACTACAGCTCAGCGTAACGATGGTCAAAGATCATTCTAAGTGTTTCATTCACGACAGAACACATTTGACTGTAACGCAACTACCACTGTATGAATCACAACCTAGTCTTGACTACAGCAACTCAGCTATATCCTTGCAAACTTACCCTACTTACACTACAGTCAACAACCCGATGGGAAAACAAAAGAGCGTCGTATCGCAGAAGAGGGCAGGACGTCCTCGCGGCAGCACCAAAGGTGGTGGCGGTAGACGTGGTAGACCCAAAGGCAGGTCTTCGCAATCAGCGACACCAACACCTGGGACGTCACAGAATGGAGCATCTCAGAAGTTGACGTTCAAAATCAACATGGGACTAGATCCTCCAAATCCGCATTCGCGTGCAACTCTGCCGCACGATGGCCACAGAGACCAAGATGATGGATTTCCTCAGCAACTAGCACAGCCGGCGCCGGTTACGACTCGTACTGGACGGGCGATTCAAAAGCCGCAGCAGTACAATGCTATACAGGGCAGCGACATTGATTTGTTCATTGATCAGAATTCTGAGGACCATGAAGATGACGACAGAACGTTTCTGACAAGTGACCCACGTAAGTACCAAACGTTACAGATTAAAGGAGCTCAGATTCGCTGACACCTATCTAGCGTACGCCTCACACAAAGCACAAGAGCACCTCCAGCAGTATCCAAAACCAAGAGGTCCCCCGCCCAAAAATAACACTTCGTTCGGCGCTTCTGTGGTTAAAGGAGATGAAGAGAGCGCAGAGTCTCCGTTCCTGCAAAACCTACCAGTACCATCTCTCACCGCAGATCCCACCCAATTTGTAGCCGATGCGGACGTATACGCCATTCTAGACGCCCTTCGTAGCACCACAAGAACCTTTATCGACCTTCCCAGTTTCAGCAACGCCTCCGACCCTGGTCATGCCCAACCCTATAGCGCCAAAGCCCTCACACAACTCTACGTCCTCTGCTACCAGGAACAGCGATGGGATCTCTGCGATATGATATCCGATACTTGGATACGCGCTTTTCATGACATGCGTAAAAAAGATCAGCAGAAGCCTCAAACCCAGACATGGCGCCCCAATCCCGCTCTTGACCGACGTAAGCGTAAAGCACAAGAGGCCTTGGCAAAGGGTCACTATATTCCCTCGGAATTCGATGCAGACCCAAAGGAATATGGTCTTGTTGTCACAGATCCGGAGCTCGAGAAAGATGTCACATGGATCAACACCGATCTTCTAAATCTGCTTTACAAGTTCACGTCTCCAGGGTGCGGCGCAAGATTTCTCTGGGCCGATGCTTTGGCTTTGTTTGGTGATAAAGCTGAAGAAGCTATTAGAGAAATGACGAGGGAGGGATTCGAATTACACCCAGACCTTCTGTTCAACATCATGCAGACTAGTCTACGTATGTGTCGGAGGAACCTTACACTGAAGATTGAAGAGAGCACGGAAGGTGCGTGGTGTAGGCGGTATCACGAGCATGGCAAGAATGGACAGCGTTGTTACCGGGAGTTGGCGTCGAAGAACGGGGAAGCCGAGGAAGGTTTGCGAGACACGGGTTTGAATGTTAGAGAGATGTGAGACTCTATAGATCAGGGTTTGATGGATCGGTTTGGGGAAGGATTGGAAGATGAGCAGGGTACTGCTGAGGTGATTCGAGGGGAAAAGAAAGGTCCTAAGGACAGCGGCAACTTTGGTCTGAACAAGCGGACTACTTGGAGTGGGGAAGAAGAGGATGCCGAGGGGGTCTCTGACGACGAGTAAGCTCTCTATGGAAAGTGGCCTGACAGCAGTATCGAATGGTTCATTTCCTGTGTCAATTCTTGGGTCGACCTAGTCCGATCATGTAGCCATCCTACCGAAATGAGGCCATCGCTTGCCTATCTTATCATGTAATGGATATTTGATGAGGTAATACATGCCGTTGTGTTAATGATGTGAAATTGCGAACCCATCAAAAGCGTAGAGACGACACTGAACAGTATCCGTCTTCGAGCTTGTTGATGTGACCTTCCAGTATACATTGGCTTTACTAATACAACCCAGTGAGTCAGGTATGGCCTGGTGAGGTACTCGCTTGATGATGGTGCATATCTCCTTATCTATCAACAAGTCATTGTGCCTTCCCCAGCATAACTTCGGCTACACATTCTCCGAAGCAGGTAAGGGCTTTGTTTGTTCTCAGTCACTCGCACGATAAGGATTTTGCAGCGGGTTTGCTTTTAACATAGTGCGACGAGTGATTCGTCTTGCCCCTCGGTCGCCAGAAATCGCTTACACTTTCCTTGTCCTAGGCTGTTCACATGCAATGCGGCATCTCATTCGCTGCCACCACACCGACACTCCTACGATTCCATAGGTCCTCCGTCTTCTAGCCTTCAATTGGGAGGCCAAGGTCCGGATAACCGTGCAAGATCCTCAGGCGTCCAGTCTGAGTGATTCACCCACCTCGTACCCCGGAATCTATTACTCCGCACGGTTTGACTCAGTTGCCGTGTGTCCAAGACGTATAAATGGGGCCATCCCCAACATTGGCGTCTTGGTCAATATCCACTATGAGCTTGTCAGTGCGTGCTTTTCGCTCCAGATACGATTTGACGCCACTAATCGACTGTGAAGCGTTTGTCAGCGTCAGTATTCACCCGATGCCGCGATACTACCGCTGCAGGCACACCCACACGCGAGATGTCCGAACGTGTTGTGCGAAGCAACATCTGTTGAGTACGACCTAGCCGGCAATAGAAACTGGAAGATAAGATCGCATCCATATGCGTCTTGTTCACTTCGACTTCCGACACCCGGTTAATTATGGACTCTCAACAGCACCCATTTTTATACAGCATGCGTGAGCTGAAGGATTAGACCCACGGCCATCGCCGACCAGCCGATAAACCTTGCTCACTGTGGACCGAGAAGTAGACCGCATGACCCTCGGGGTTATCACAACGGTTATGCTAAGAGGATATGGTCCACCCGAAGTCTACGAGGGTCGCATGGTAGCGAAAGATTTACTTTGCTGACGTCTTAGTCAAGCACTTTACAGGTTTTTGGCGTAACAGCTTACACTGTTTACAAGCACTTGGTTAAAGCATGGCGAGCTTAGTCTTGACGAACCATCCCACGCGCACTCTGTGTGTGTGGAGACAATCAGTCAAAGCGCCTACGTTCGCCCCGATAACACTCGGAGCCCCGACCGAGGCGGATGAACGTACCATGTCTTTAGCCCTGCGTATTCCTTTGCATCGCATGACAAGATGCACTACGAGTGCATAGCTCTGCGGAGAAAGATGCCCCGGCGGTCTGGGCTCTTGTCACGACAGTCCAGCCAGAGCGCTTGGAAATGTCAGGCTCGCTATTGCGGGTTTGACGAGTCAGAGTCTGCCGCTGCATGGAAGAACTCTCTGTCGGACTCTGGGGTTACGCAGCCAAGAGTCACATCATCGTGCTACACGATCATTAGAGGCACCGGCAACCAGGACTCGTATTGGCACCAGAGCGGCCGAAGAAGCAGCGGACTCTACACTTGCGCATCATTAGCTCTACCAGAACTTCTGCATGCATCGTATCTACGTCTGGGAATGGGTTCGTCATTTCAAGAGCCTTCGCAGGACGGCATGCCGTTTGAGGAAGTTGGGAAACAGGCGCTAACAGAAGAGGCTGAAGGAGCTGGAGCCGCATCGGCTGTCGACACACCGCCGCGAGACGAGGTGTCGTCCATAAAAGATTAGTCGCAGAAGCCGAAATCCTGCTCCGACGTCTTTTTCTCCTCGGCGTTAATTCTACCGGCGAGGGTCTTCGTCGCGAGGCATCAACAGGATAGCGTAGCAATTTATCCTGGTTGCGAGATTTTCCCGCGGTGCGTCCAGCCAATTGCGTGGCATGTTTTACCGGCTTTTCTCCGGCCGCTACCATGAGCTTGACAAGCTTCTCTTCCTCGACCGACAGCTACTGTAGAAAATCCGGGACACGAGAGCGTTTGGGGGATAATGCGGGGTTCCCATCTTGTAGTGGCCAGGTTGTTGACTGGTGCTTAGCTCGGCCCCAAGCTCCACAAGACGCACGAACAAGGAAGCTTTCTCCACTCAAGCCTGCCAACCTTTCGCCCATTTGCTGGGCGGAGTGTAACCTTTGTGCAGATGGCGCTCTTGTGCTAGGCGTGAGAGGTGACGGCGTCGCCGCTTGATCGGTATTTGATCAGACGATCAGCGGTCCGCTTTCTGCGCAAGGTCTAGGTCCAACGCCTGCAATGCCGATGAGACGGGACGACCTATTGAACGTTGAGTAAACCACAGTTGGTATTGGGAAGGTCATCCGGCGCCTCTCTATTCGGAAGACTGACGCCGACCACTACTGGCGATGAACGAACGTGGAGTAGACGCCTCCGGGGTAGGCTCTGGGGTGTGTCATGGATGGGCATACTTTGACAGTCCGCACCTAGGGTCTCCGCATATCACACCCCACCATCGCTTACAAGAGTCAGTATAAGAGGCGCGCATACCTTCGTAGAGATTCGAGCTTTACTGCCTTTCCTCCCTGTTTGACAGACGTAGGTGAAGCAGCTCAGTCCCATCCTCAACTCGACCCATCACTTCAAATCTTGCCCATCATGGTCGTCTTAAACCCCTGGAAGGAGAATCTGAAGGACACTCCCAAGGAGAGCCTTAACTGGCGTCTCTGGTATGGTGTCTTTGGTAAGTAATTACATCATCCAACGCGCTCAACAAACTAACATCTGATAGTCTTCGGACTCATGGGCGCTGCTCGTGGTATCGATGAAGGTCTCATTGGTACTACATCCGAACTCGACCCTTTCAAGCGCAAGTTTGGACTTGACGACGACAGCAAAAGCGAGCACGAGATTGCCGAGCTTCTATCAAACATCACATCCATGGTGCAGATGGGCTCCATCTTGGGTTCGCTGATTGCTTTCTTCATCACCGACAAAATCGGCCGCCTTTGGGCCACTCGACAACTGTGTCTTATCTGGGTCATTGGTATCGTCATCTTCCTCACCAGTTCTCTCACTGGTTCCGTCGGACAGATCTACGCCGGTCGATTTATTGCTGGTGTTGGTATCGGACAGACCACTGTCGTTGCACCCACATACCTAGCTGAGACAGCACCAAGGGCTATTCGAGGTCTCTGTGTTTGCGCTTTCGCTGGTTCAGTCTACATCGGCATCATGCTTGCCTACTTCGCATCTTGGGGTTCTTCCATTCACATCTCATCTGCCACTGACGCCCAATGGCTCGTTCCAAACAGCATGCACCTCATGTTCGCTGGTATCATCTTCACACTCTCCTGGTTCGCTAAGGAGAGCTCTCGTTGGTTGATCAAGGTCGGCCGCCACGAGGAGGCTCTTGACAACCTTGCGGTCCTCCGCAACCTTCCCGCTGACCACCCTTACGTTACCTCAGAGATTATGGACATCAACGACCAGCTCAACCGTGAGCGCGAAGCTACCATGGGCACTACCTGGCTCGGACCAGTTCGTGAACTTTTCTCTAGCAAGGCCAACCTTTACCGCATCCAGCTTTCGGTCATGTCACAGCTGCTAGCACAGTGGTCTGGCGCGAACAGTATGTTCCCCCACTAGCATAAACATTCAACACACACTGACTCTAAGCGAACAGGCATCACCATTTACGCTCCCCAGTACTTCGCTATGATGGGCACGACAGGTCAGAACGAGAAGCTCTTCGCGACAGCTATCTTCGGTGTCGTCAAGTTCGTCAGCTCCATGCTTTGCGCATTCTTCCTCATCGACTTCCTCGGCCGCAAACGTTCTCTCGCTACCGGTATCACACTACAACTCGTATCCATGCTCTACATGGCCATCTTCCTACTCATCGACACTGGTGTTTCTGACGGTGAGCCTCAAAGCTCTAGTCAGAAACACGCGGCTATGGGCGCAATCGTCATGGTCTACTTCTCTGGTTTCGGTTGGGCCCTAGGATGGAACTCGATTCAGTACCTCATCAACTCCGAGATCTACCCACTCCGTCTGCGTGCACTTGGTGGTTCCATCGCTATGACATTTCACTTCGTCAACCAGTACGGTAACTCGAAGGCTGTACCTCTCATGTTCATCTCCATGACCCACGGTGGTACTATGCTGTTTTTCTCTTGCGTTACTGCCATTGGCCTTTTCTGGGTTTACTTCTTCCTTCCCGAGACTTCTGGAAAGTCGCTCGAGTCGCTCGACGAGATGTTCAACCTGCCTTGGTACCTTATCGGTCGCAAGGGTGCAGAACTCACAAGGGGATCTGGTGGTATGGCTGATATCCTGGACAGCGCAGGCGAGAAGGCTGTCACATACGAGATGGAGAATGCTGGTGGTGCTGAGACACAAAACCACCGGGTTGAGCAGAAAGTCTAAACCTTGCACATGTTTGTGAGATGGGACAGTCTATAGCATCGCACACAAACTGTGTTGCTAGATGAATATCAATGAAGTTACGAACACAAACCACACATCCATCTTCCTAGTGCCATCACACTGACATATGTCCATTATACACGTACCACTGGTTCTACTTGAAATTTTGGATTAGGATTTTGAACATTAACATTGAATCTATGGCTAATCTTCTTGTATTCTATGGCTTCATCGTCACAGGTAGCACCGCCATATCAAGATATATAGACAAATACTCACAGGAGGGAGCGATAGGCCAACTCAAACCTGACTCCAGGCGAGTCAAAGCCCATAGACTCACCCAATTTGGAAGACTTGCTTCGATACCGGGTGGTAATGGCAGTACTATGCTAATGAGCAATAGCGGAAAAAGGTTTTGCAAATACCAAAAAATCAAGAACTGCATCCTAGATGGCGGATGCCCAACACTCCACCCCGATCATGAGTGTTGACGTGACTTATGCGATGATTTGTCTGAACGCGCTGAGTTTAGAAGCATGCTGCGAGTGCAGACCCTGATGGCTGCCATCATCCTGAGACAATTCCGCAAGCGATAAAGCAAGGTCCAGCTTAGAAGATACCAACTCATTCTTGGCCGCCTCTTCAAAGGTCTTCATGACCTTTCCAATGAGAGTGATTTCATTGTCATCGAAGTCGAGTTGATGAAGGAAGCCATAGAGTGAAGTGCCGCCTAGCTTGATCTTGCGCTGAATCTTGAAAGATTCCAGACTGGCAATGGGACAACCAGCAAGGGAAGCAAAGGCTTTGCAGACGTCGTCTTTGGTGGTTGTTCCGTCGCAACGCTCGAAGTCGAGTGAATTCACGAATATTTCTAAAGAGGTTTTCCCAAGGAAGGTATTGCGCGCTTTCTCGGCCTTCCGGCGAATAGAATCAACAGCAGGCACCAAGGAGGAGCGAAGGGAAGTCTTGGTTGACTTTGGGTAGTCTGAGCCGGAGGAGGAGAAGTCGAGATCAGATGTGGGAGGGGTTACTGGGGTAGTGTCATCAGGAATGACTGGCTTCTCGATGGTGTCTGTAACCCGAACGTCGATCTGCTGCAGATTGTCCCTAGCTTTGTTGATGGGGAAAGGGTTAATTTGGGAGACGCTGCCGATGAGAGTTCCCTTTTCGTGCATGGAATTTTCCGCTTCCAAATTAGCAACATTGGATGCGTAATCGCCAACAATAAGCTCTGTGTCGTCTGCTGATGCGTCGACAGCAACAGGTCCATGGATAAACTTTGCAACAGGGGTACCAACAGACTTCGTCCTTTTAGCCTTCTTTTGCCCATGAGCAGAAAACAGAAGCTTGTATGATGGGACGTGCATTTGGACAAGATGGTTGTGAAGATCGTGAACCTTTTTCCTCTCACCTGGGCCGTTGGGCTTGGAGAGAAGAGAAGCGACAAAATTGGGGTCGTCCGTCTCATACGAGACTATTTTCTTTCCACCAACCTTGACGACATTTTGGTTGGCTTTTGGGGCCTTATCTTGCTTTGACGCAGTAACCGGCAATGCGAAAGGGGTGATATGCGTCGCAACTTGCTTCTCGTGAAGGTTACGAGATTTTCTAGTTACGCCAGGGCCATTTGGCGTTTTCAGAAGCGCCGCCACACATCCATCTTCCGTTAGAGTGATGGGCCCGGCAATCTCAGTAGCGGTCCTTGCGGTGTCGAGCTTGAGCTGCTTCTGGAGTACTTCTGAATCGACCATAGTCACCTCTTCTAGAAGGTCAGAAGGTTTGGAGTCCTTCTCCTTGGCCTTGTTAGGCTTTTGATCCTTAAATGCAGTAACGGGAAGCTCGACTGGAGCAACGTCCAGTGCTGCCTCCTTCGCAAAGCTGAGAAGCAGTGCCTCGTTGTCGACATCGGTCATCGAGACATCGTTATAGACGTTGGATGACGCGGTGGCGCTGGCAGCCTTAACAGAGCTAGATTTTTTCACAAGTGAATCCGTGCTTTGATGGGCAGTAAAATACTCTTGTACCGGGTTGAGAGCGTGTCCTTCTGTATCGTTGTCAGACGCAGCAGCCGAATCTGAGCCAGTTTCGATATTAGAGGCGGTAGCTTGAGGCGTATCGGCAGACTCAGGAATGTGCTCAGCGACGTCGTTGACCACGCGCTGCTCGACAATATCTGCGTAGCTGTACATAGGAAGTGCCTTGTTCACCACAGATGTGTGCTGGGAGTTGTCTGGCTGGGTAATGCGCTCAACGACGCCATTGACCACGCGTTGCTCGATAATCCTGTCGTAGTTAAGACTTGGGCGAGAAGTTGAATAAATGGCGAGCTGCCTTTTCTCCTTGATAGTAGCTTTGATATCCACTGCAGCTGTTCGGGTGTCGTGTTCCTTATTGCTAGGTGGGAAAAGCGGCTTGCGATTTTTCTTCGTCGGTCGGTGTGTAGGTCGAGTGGGCTTGTCTTTGAGAACTAGTGCTTTGCCATTGGATGAAAGCTTCTCATTGAGCTTCTTCTCAACCATTTGAAGCTTTCTCCTTTGAGTCACGACATTCGCAACATGCTTCGCTTCTGCCTCGGCGGCTATCCTCTGGAAGGATTCGTCTTCGCTAAGCGTAGCAGAAGTGTTGACTTTGTTGGAGGGCGCGTTGGAACCGGTTGTAGTAGCCGTTGAAGCAGACATCTTGTTTGCTACGTAGACAACTAAATGAAGTTCTTAAGTAGCGAATTCACGGAAGGTAGAGTTGAGACCGGAATTTCCGTTCGATAGAACTGTAGAAGAATGTATCTGAAACGAGTTGTCAGTTGTTTCGGAACACATTGCTTGGCGATGAGACAAACTTTTAGCCTATGGAAGTAAAAATGAGTGAGATCTCCAGGTCGTTCGTAGGGTGCACAATGATGTTTCTGGTCTTAAAGGGCAAGGTAGTGCAAGTTCACGATGACTAGAAGTTGAGAAGTGACCCGATAATGAGAGCAATTGTTGCTAGAGAAGGGGTTCTTATGTACAGACAAGCGTACGAAGCTCCTGTAGAAGCTCAGACCAGGCGTGAATAAAGCTTGTGCTTGATCCGCTGACAGGGCGCTGCCTAGCAACCCAGGCGTGCCTTGAGCCAACGGAAGTGTCCAAAGGCTTTTCGCATTCACTTGGAAAGAGATGTTGGGGTTTCGAGATGTCGGATTGGTATGCAATTTCTGCAAGCATCTGATAAGGCTGAAGGTCCAGGACTTTCCGTATCGTTATATACTAGAGAAACAGGAGCAGTCTCTCGAATCTGGGATCGTTTTGTAAGGAGGTTCGCCGCTTTGAGCAGGATGCAGAGATGAGGTAGAACGTACCTCCATGGAAAGACTGAGCATAGCTGACAAAGCCTGAGACATAGAGTGAAGCGATGAATGCCGTTCTCACATATTTGCGTGATGCAGCAGTCGCAGTATACCCGATGTCCAGGGCGTTCTGCTTATCATCGGCAAAGACACGAAATTACAGGATATTCATAGCGACAGAGTTGAGAATGTGAGTGACGTGGAATTGCGTGGCAACGATGACGGACTTGGCGAGACTTCACAGTGGTACTCATTCGAGAGCGCGGTTCTGAAATCGGAAGCAAGGCCATGTATGGTCCTTGTCCTCGTTAGGAAGATCGGGAAATACAGCAACTTTGAGCATGTGATCCTGATGCAGTTTTGGTGGCTGTGAATTCGTCTGACTAGAACTAATCCTTTGGCCGAGCAGCTAAACTGTTCGTGAGCAGCCTTACAGGTACTTTCCAGATCCGCGCCTGATCTATCACGACATTGATTCGCTGTAACCTCTTCGTTCATGGTTCTCATATTTTTCACATCGACCAATGTTGAAGATAGTACATGGACGACATACTGTCGACCATAGGCATCGCACGCATACTTGTGCGCGACGAGAGCTTGGCGGAGATGTGCGGATGAAGGTCGTAGTTCCATGTACCAACACTATAACAGCGGCCTTTCTTACATCTTGATATTGACTATGCCAATGCTGAGTAATTTTCCTGCACCCAAGTTCCTAACTCTTTCTAGTCCGTCACTGGGATGTCGATGGAGAAGTCCCAGAAAGGTGCTGCAAGCAGGTACTGATTTTGGCAAGAACGCCGTATCTGAGCACGGAACTGCTGGAAAGGCGTTAATCCAACATCGCACGATCCCTTCTTCCGCTGAAGGGCCAGGGAGGTGCGGGTCGAGTCGTACAACAGCTTTCTGCTGTATTGCGATGTACAAAAAAAAACAGGTATATCAGCGCGTGGTTCGATCACCTAGGGGCTGTCGAATGGGTTTTGTTCGTCGCAGGCACTACGAAATTGCGGAATGCAGCCACTGTATGTCGTGCTTTTAGCTGCATCAATATCTATGGCCCAGAGCCGTCAGAAAAATAGACCCAAGGCTGCGTAAAAATACCATCCAACAATATGGCGCGTGAGGCGCAAACGGCACTGAAAAGGGGAAGGAGTTGACGACGGTCCGTCGGCACCTCGGGCTTGCTAGTGAGGGGCACAGCGCACCCCACCAACCTGGGAAGACACGCTCCGTCCCCAAGTCCCGCTAGTGACATCATACGTGCTCGATGAAAACACCTCACGAACACATCTCGGCCAGCTCCAGCCCTGTATCGAATCAGGGCATTCGCATTGCCTGCATCTCCCTCACGCTACGACTGCGGCTGTGGTTGCCGACCGCATGGCACCTCTACCCGACCCTCTGATTGAAGTTGCCAACACTGCATAGTCAGGTCCGCTAGTACCTGTTAACCCGTGTTGCCGGTAGGGATTGCTGCTCAACGAACAGCAATTGTGGGTTCCATCTCACAATGATTGATCGGCGGCAGATTCTGTTTGGGGCTCAGGTATAAGAGTCTGCTAGTGCCCCATTTACTTTTCGCGGTAGGTGCTCGCTGTTCAGCTTGAAATATATCTGGACTTCTTCACCAACTCTACCGACTGAACATATCAGTCACTCCCTCCCAGGATACTTGGAATATAGATCCTACCAGAGTCGACAAGCCGCGATTATGGCGAGCAAGCCCATCTTTGTGGCTACTCATCCGAGGGCCTGCTCGACGGCCTTTGAGCGGGTATGCTTGGTTCCGCCGTGTCTCGCCCAAGTTCGGGTTCTTACCATCATCTAGGTCTTCATGACCCGCTACGACACGCTCCAGTGCGTTCACGAGCCTTTCGGCGACGCCTACTACTTCGGTCCCGAGCGCCTCGCTGAGCGTTATGAGAGTGACGCGAAAGCCAGGAAAGAGTCTGGCTATGAGGAGAGCACATACAAGACCATTTTTGATCGCATCGCGAGAGAAAACTCGGAGGTTCGTTCACTAATACTTTCCATGTTTCTGCAGTATTACCGGTTTCCTGCTGTTTCCCCTCAGTCCTTCATCTTTTCACACCCAATCAAGATCTTATTTTCGCAATCTCGTCAACTTCGTCGCAATTGCGTGTTGTGTGCTCCCAGCCAACCACCCGACAGCTAGATCTCTGTCTACCCCACCTTGATCACGACCATCTCATACTTTCCTAAACTCAACTTGCGCGATTTGTAAGCGCTTCGACTGGAGCGCAACAAATTCACCAAAGTCCTTGGTCTCTCCAAGCGGACAACTCAAAAACCGCCGTCCCCCATTTCCCCGAATTGTCGCCGAGCCATTACGATCTGCCCAGCTCCCTACCATCTTGACCCTCGCATTATGACATCCCGTACGATGAAGACGTCAATGGCGCATAAAGTAGCCTCACGAAAAATAGCATACTCACCTTTGACAGGGCAAGCGCGCTTTCATCAAGGACATGGCCCAATACTGGATTCCTCCCGCAGGCAAGCCCGCTACCATCGCCCCGTCTCTATCCAACTATCGTCGCGGCGTAGGAACAGACACCACACAGCTATCGCCTGTCACTACTCGTAATGAACGTCCCGGACCTCCTTACCCGTACGACACCCAAGGCGAACCCAACAACCCTACAGTCATTCCTGCGGATCTGTTGGCAACCTACCACTTCACATTTCTGATCCGTCACCCCAAGTTCTCCATCCCATCGTACTACCGCTGCACTATCCCTCCGCTGGATAAAATGACGGGCTTTTACAACTTCCGCCCTGACGAAGCTGGCTACGAAGAGCTCCGTCGACTGTTCGACTACCTGCGTTCCGAGGGCCAGATCGGTCCCAAGTTCGCGGGTCAGAAGCAGCACGACTCCAATGAGCAGACAAACGGCCACACTGGCGGTGTTGAGATCTGCGTCATCGATGCAGACGATTTGCTGGACAATCCATCTGGCATGGTTGAAGCATTCTGCAAAACCACGGGAATCGAATGGGACCCAGACATGCTCGTGTGGGACACAGAGAAGGACCAAGGTATCGCCAAGGAGGCGTTTGAGAAATGGAAGGGTTTCCATGAGGATGCTTTGGATAGTGATCGCTTGAGGGCGCGGACACATGTAAGTGAATATCCAAATTATGTGGGCAGGGTTGTAGACTGACGACCTTGCCAGAAGAAGGAACCCAAGTCAGACGAGCAGCTTTTCGCTGAGTGGAAGGAGAAGTACGGTGAAGAGGGTGCCAAGCAGATCCGGGACACCGTTGCTGCTAATGTTGAGCATTACGAATACCTCAAGCAGTTTGCTATCAAATTGTAGATATTTTTTCAAAGTCAGGAATCGAGTACGACTGTTACATGTGTTCGATCACTACCAAAAAGAGATGGCAGATGGTAGAGCAAACAGCATGCAATATGTTAGAGAAGCAACAACGAATTTTCTTAGCATATTTAATTTGGAAATCTCCAATAAGACACATCTCATTATGATTCCTCACCTGAGAATGCTAGACCGCCCCATGTTATAGCGATTGTCATTTGCTCATGTTCGCGTCATCAGCTGGCCCGCCGAACCTGCATGCGGTATGCATGCTTATGCTTACAGTGCGCGTCTGGAACATTGAACTTTTTTCAAACATTGAGAAAAAAGACATGATTGCGGTCTAAACAGTGTCTGTCGTAAGCTTTGTGCAGTTGAGTGGGTCAGTCCGTGTTAATGTATTGAGCAGGTAGAAGGGTGGGTGGTGGGCGGCGGAGTATTCTCCTAATGGTTACAGAAGCGGCCCCCTTTGAGAGTGTGGCGAGGTTTCCAGAGCATCTCCTCATGATGCTGGAGTTGGGCGATGACAAAGGACGTGTGTTTCGGATTGATGCGTCTCCGCGTGTTACCAAGCCCGAGGCACCGGACCATGGTGGTGTGGCGATGAAGCCTAGAGCACATCAGTGGGTAGCAGTTTTTGATAACTGCCAGAACATGGAAAGAATGACCAGACACGGAAGTGATGGTGATTGCAGATGTGATGATTTGGTATTCGATTCGATAGGTGATAGTAACACAGAGACCAAAATCTAGCCTGCCAACATATGCCAAATAACTCCGTAACACATACATGGTTACAGTACAGCTTCCGAAATTCAAAGCGATGGATGAGCAAACATACAAAGGTATCAACCGCGGACCACGCAAGAACGCCAAGCCCAAAACACCGACGCTGTCCATGTGCGTAGAGAATGCGTAGTTTTGTGTAAACAAGGTAGAAGATGTGCAAACTCGGTGAGAAGGTCATGCGCGCTGCAGTTGACCAAGCTCGATCTCTCTCCTCCGCTCCTCGCGGCTGACATTTCTCGAGTGGTTACTGTGTCTTCCATCCGCACTCGACGGCCGATTTGTACTTCTTCCGCGGCCCTGCCATTGCTGCCATGCCTGGTGTTCACTCAGACTGTCGGGTCTACTGTCGGATCGATCGCGGTTCCAGTCGACATGTGTTTGTGCAGGCGTACCGACCAACTCCTGACTGCGCAGATGTCTTTCTTGCTGTTCCCGGTCTTCTGGCAGGTCTATTCTGAAGGTGCTGTTGGCATCGGGACTGGGTCGCGGGTCGCCTTTTGCGAGGAGCAGCGCCATTTGCTGGTTAACACGATCGTCTTCTGTGTACACGGCGGCGGGTGGCGGGTTAGAGGGCGAGCGCATGGCGGTGGGATACATGTTGGGGATGAAGTTGCTGTAGTAGGATTGCTCGGACCAGAGGTTTGCGCGCGTGTCTGTCTGGCGTCTGGACTTTACTATTCGGCGGTATGTCCAGAGAAGGAGAGAGGTGTAGAGGAGGGTGCCGGCGGCGCTGGTTACAGTGCCGCTAATGGCGGCATTGCCCCAGTGATAGTTGTGGGAGGAGAGGAAGTTGTAGGCTATAGAAATGAGGCCGAGGGCGGAGGAGGCGAGTGCGGGGCTACGCATGTGTGAGTATTGCGCTGGTGGTGCAGGCGTAGAGGTCTTACAGAAAGACAGCTTCAGCTTGGAAGCGCTCATTGCGACAGGCGAAGCAGAGCAGCGCCGTGAATGAATAGCCGGCAGTGAGGAGTGCGACAACAAAGACAGACAGAACTGCTTCGCTGAACCTGAGCTTGGGATCGTTGGCGTAGAGGCCGGGCAGGATGAGGTAGCTGCCATGTGTTAGCCTGCTTTCATCTCAAGTGCCTCGAGAGGCGTGACGGGCACCCACCCTCCCAATATCATCCATGACGCCGCCAGGGCTATGAGGCGCCAGTACCACGGCGTGCCCTCTCTCCTCTCGCTGCCCGCGTCGTTGATGTTGACATAGCTCTTGTTGCTAGAGCGCATTGAGTCGGTGGTTCGCGCCTTCCGCAGCGGGGTGGTGCCTTGTTCGCGATTCAGGTCGTGGTGCCTGGCCGAGAAGCCGTCGATTCTCGCGCAGTGCCAGCGAGCGATTCAAGAGACGTCGGCATGCAGAGCAGACGAGCGTGATTAAACGAGTGACTGTGGCAAGCGTCTCTGCCGTCGAGATTGAGATCGGGATATGAGCCTCACTTGCAGCTGGCTGGCTGTCTGCTATTCAGCCTGACGCGGTGCAGATCGCTTCGGTCCGTCGAATGCAGTGGAGCCGAGGCGAGGCGGTTGGTGCACGGCGCAATGGTTTCCAGAGAGGGGAATAGCAACAACAACGAGCGACGAGAACAAGACGCAGTTTGGGTCGAATATGAAGCACACGAGGTCAACAGTAGAGAGTCGAGAGACACGGGCTGAACGGGCGGTGGAAGAAGAGGGCGCCAACATGCTCGTACTTCGCTGAGGCGGAGGACGCCTGCATACTCGCTCAGCCACTCGACGTCCTGCTGAGCATTGCTGCCACCCCTGCGACATGCTCCCTGTGGATCAACATGGCCGTGAGCATCTCCAACGCGTCTTGTCGAGCATCGCGATTGCAGTCACATACTGATCAGCGACTTCGGGCTTCCACGACCAACATCGTGCATCATCCCACGCCTCCTGCCATCACCATGAAGCACAGTATCCACGATGCTGTCCCGCATCCCTTTGTCTCTCTGGTCTGCCCAGGGCGACCCCGGATTCCAAAACGCGTCACCACCAATTCCAGGCCAAGCCTTTTGCCCATGTCTGCTCAATCTCGCTGACTGCGCCGCACCTTGGATGGTGCAGCTTACTCTGAGAGCCACCGCTCCCATTCCCTCTGCCAATGTCTATCGTTCACTCACTCGTCGTAGCGCTATCGACTTCGTGTTCTTGGTAGACGCAGTTGCCGGTCAGACATGACGTCGTAGCCACCATTGACCTCTTGAATGCACTGCCTGGCGTACGTAGGACCTAGCGCTACATCGTGGCATGGCACAGCATCACAAGCCACGAAAACGTTATTCTACGCCGATAGGGCATGGTATGAACCGGCCGTTCAGCCTCATCCGAATTCTAAAGCATCGCGACCAACTGATGCAATTGGGCGTAAACACTACTTTTCTTAGCAAACACCTTGTGCGCGCTCACGACTGTCGAGGTTTGCGCTCGTCCATCGATGCCATGTTACGACAGGAGGTCTGCGTTTTCAACTCTGTCGTTTTCAGACACATCGACCGCGCATTTTCTGACCAGCGACCTCTCTTGCCATACAATCATATGTACAGACGACATAGCGGTGTCTTTCAACAATGCGATCCGCCCGCCTGGTTCACGTTGCAGGGAATGCTTCTAGTGCCTCGCACATGTGTGTCATCCGCACAACCACACCGCATCTTACTTTACACGCCCGCCGCCAACATCTTTCACCCTGCGACCTTGCTCCTTCGAAATTCGGTGTCGCCTTCTCCGAAGTGTCTTTGATGAAGTTCGCTGGCGCGATCTATCCAGGGTACAACACAGATACTTTGTCGGGTATACCGAGACGTTCCCAGTATGAGAATCAAACACCAAACGAAGCGGTCGCCGAGCTTGTGGCCGTTGCTTCGAGTGCTGATCTCGTTTACTTTGCTGAGTGTCCAAGTGTTCGCAGACGCCGAGAGTCGATGGCTAAAGATGCCGGCGCCACCGGTTCGATCTATGCCCCACCAACAACCGAGCCCAGGGTTGCTTCCAACCCTGATGATCCTTTGAATAGCACCACCGTCTGTCGTGGTACATCTAGAAATATATTTAGATCAATCTTTCATTGTCTCATCGATCAGCTACTCGACCTTCTAGGTTGATCAATCTTCAGTAGTATAGTGGTCAGTATTTCCGCTTGTCACCATCACTGGCAACTCGCGGGAGACCGGGGTTCAATTCCCCGCTGGAGAGCTTCCTTTTGCTAATCTTTTTGTCTGTTTTCATTATCGTTCTGCGCTGCAGATTTTTTGACTTCGACAGTGGACGCTCCGGTCCACAGGTCACAGCTGCGCTCTCATTGGCCAGAGTGATTAGGTAATCACCCGTTGCGCACTAGTGCTCTCCAGCAAGGGTCTGCGGAACCGTGCATGGAACATCAAAATCTCGAGGGATGCCTTCAACAGAGTCGCAGAGCAAGGCCTCCTGATGATACTACGAATCATTTCAGAATTTCGATGCCATACAGAACGCCACACCGCTTCAGTTTCTGACTGCTGTTCTCGAGTGAACTTGGAATACTCTGACACTTTATCACTGCTTGTGGCTGTAAATACGCACGCCGTACAAAAGACAGCACGGCGACGATACGAGTTGCATCCTACAATCTAGACATAAAATGACCCAGCGAAACACACAACCGAATACACAAACACCACCGTAGTCAGATGGTCGGTAGGTCTTCCCATCTTCGTCCTCCGTGGGCGGGAGTATTCCTTCTTCGGGTATCGTACGCCACGTTTCTCATCCAGTTGCAATGCCTCGTCGGCGGTGACTTCGTTCGGTGGCCAGATCAGGTAATATACCGGAATCCAACAGCTGGCCAGCTGCCCCAGCCACCACACCGGCGGCCATCCGATCCTGGTAAGCAGAAATACCCATCGATCATGGCCTGAGAGGACGAGCTCAGCCGCCGAGTACGCAGTGCTGATTTGAGCTGCCGGGTCGAAGCAACGTACAATGTTAAGTACCACACCGAGGATGCAAGCCAGAATGAAGCAGACGTGTATCCAGACCATCTGTTGGAATAGTATCGCACGTAAGCGGCTGAAAAAGCCCGAAGGCCTCGGCCCACGTTCTTTGATCTCCAGAGAGAGGCTTCCACTAGGCGTGAATCCAGGCTTTGTCCCACCGAAGCGTGTCGGAAGTACCATACCACGAACAAGAGAGAGCGTATAGTATGGAATCAGCCAAACGTCGGCTTGATCCCAGCGCATCGCGTCCCGATACCCAACAAACAACGCCAGACTCATCTTGTGCGCCGTATCAGCAAAAATCCAAATGCAGACGAGTCGCAGAAGCCAAGCGAGTTGCCAGCGCTCGTAGTAGACTACGAAAGGATAGCCAGCTAGTAGTGCAAGTGGAAGACCGATGTAACCCAGCCAGTTAAGCGCGCTGTTCACCACAGATCCTGCACCAAAAACGTAGCCGGCGAGGCGTTGGCGGGCGTTACAGAAGGGGACAGTCGGGCCCCAAAGGCGAAAGTTGATCTCGAAACGGTCAGCCTTTATTGCAAGCTATCGAGAAAGAGTATTACCTTGAACGCTGTTTGAACATTCCCAATGGTCCATCTCGTCCGCTGTTTGATATGACCAGACAGAGTATCCGGCATCTCACCGCATTGCAAATACTCATCGATATAAGCTACTGACCAGCCTTTGCCGAGGAGCATGGAGCTACAAGCAGTGTCCTCACTGATCGAGTATGTAGGAAAGCCACCAATGTCCTCTATTGCTTCCCTACGCGCCAGATACCCGGACCCAACGCAATCGCCTGCGCCGAGCCCATCATGAATAAGCTCCGTCATGGCATAGAAGTAATCGAGATCTTGTCGCACTGGATCGTCGAGCGGAATGTTCCAAAAGTACTGTGGTGGGCATGTCATCCCCATCTTGGGATTGTTGAGAAGATGTGGCATCATGGCGCGTAGCCAATTTGGTTGGACTATCATGTCGACATCCAAGCCTGCGACGAATGGTGAGGGGAAGTCTGTGAGCTTTGCGCTAAAATTTAGCCCGTTATTGAGATTACCCGCTTTCTGGTTCTCAAGTAAGCAAAAGTGTATATCAGAAGAGGTAGTCAACGTACATAATCTGGTACCTCTGGCTTCTCACGACTCGTATAGTGTGCGTGTGGGTACTGCCGCGATACATGTAACATCCTTTCTTCCAGATCCCTCGACCGACCATCATCACACAAGATCACATTGAGGCGATTCAATGGCCAATCTGTCTCGCATGCAGCCCTGACAACATTGAGGATGGTGTCGTTATCCTCCCCACACGCGGTAATGAGTACAGCTACCGCTGGAACATCATCGCCTTCGAGATGAAGCTTTTGTCTTCTGGGTCGCCGCAAGACAAAAACACGGTTGAGATAAAGTAGAATGGTAGGAAGGTATTGGAACAACTCAACGACAATGAAGAACCAGGCTAAACCTAGCTGGTATCTCTCAACTACTTGCGTGTAAGCAAGACAGTAAACCCGAAAACAGAAGTAGGCCAGCAAACAAAATGGCGCTAGGAGACCTGTAGCAGACACAAGGGGCCAGAGGGAATCTGGCGCGACAGCCATGTTATGAGTTCGAGTGAAGGACGAAATGACAAGAAAGGCGTGGGTAATATCTTATAGCTGACGACGCGACTTCTAGCATCTCTTTGAGCCTACATCACGTCGGAGATAGCAGCGATGTAACCATCTTTTGCACTAATTGGTGGGATGCGCTGTGGTTACCGGGTACCTTTCCATCGAGCGTCGGAGTAAAAGAGACGGGAAGATCGCCGGATCGGCGCGCATCGCATCTTCAATCATGGCGGGAAGCAGATCCACCACGTGGTGAGCTTGCACGGCAGGGCAAAGACGTAATAAGCGGGCACAGCACGTGCAAAACCACTGCAAAAAGAATACACGCTTGCATCTATCAGACGCCAGCTACTCATGACTTCCAAGAAGCTGAACACCAGTATTCGATACGTACGAATAAGAGGACACAAACCTCTATCGGAATTTGAATTGCTTCTTTCAAGAACCACACTTTTCCTACAACCGCTTTTGCTTTTAAGCTTGTAACAAAATCTCCGTTGACGTAGTTATCTGACGTATCCAGCCAACATCTCACTCACACTTGCCTAATGGGGCAGCTATACATCAACAGCTAACCGCATTTTCAACAAATCCCCCTTAATAATCTCTCCTTTCTTCTTTTCCAACTCTTCCATGTCCCAGCACGCACTAACATACCTTCCACTCAACCACTCCCTTCTCTCACTTCCTAACCAAGCCAATGTGTCCGCTCCCAATTCTGGTGTATCAACAAGCCATTCATGCATATGCCCCGGCATTTTCAAAGCAAGTTCTGTTTGCACGCCGCCAGGATGCACAGCAATAGCTACCATGCCGTCTTTTCCCTCACCATGGTCTTGGGCAATGAACTCTGTGAGGCGCAGAGAAGCTAGTTTCGCTGGTCCGTAGGATGAACTTTGCGGAACGATCATGAGAGCCCCGATGGATGTAAGGTTTATGATGATTTTGGAGCCAGCGAGGAGTAGAGACCAACATGCGCGGGTCACGAGATAAGGGCCTTTGACACTGACCTCGTAGTCGCTCCACCAGGCTTCGGGGTCAGATTCTGGGACTCCGGCGAAGGGGGTGAGACTTCCTGCATTGTTGATAAGAACATCAAGTCTTCCCTCAAACTTCCCGGCCACTTCTTTCACTGCAGCATCTACGCTGTCTTTACTGGTGACATCGAGGCTCAGGGCCAAGACATGTGGTTGCGAATGACCTGCGTCTTTGGCTGCAGATTGAACTTCCAAGACGACTTCGGATAGTGAGGATCGCGCGCCGAGGGCTATGCAGGATGCACCTGCTTTTGCGTAGCTGATGGCTGTAGCGCGGCCGACGCCTTTGGAAGCACCAGTGATCAGGACATGTTTTCCCGAAAGGTTGGACTTGGTAGGGCTGATGTAAGAATATGTGTCGTGACGCTCAGTCGGCGTGAAGTTGATGCCTGGTGTCTCTTGGTAAGTTTGTTCGTGGAGTACGGTGGGATTGAAGTACCGTTCGAGGCGTGCTTTGCGCCAGAGTCATTAGACATGATGATGCTTTGTTTTCGAGGGACAGAGTACAAGCCCTTGCAGATATCTGAGTAATAAATTCAATGATGGGGACATAACATTTGCAAAGGCGTGGTTGGTAATGTAAGGCGGGCCGTGGCATGACGTAACCCGGATCCACATCCGGTATGGTAAACGTCAGGTACTAGGATCACGGCAGTATGCAAGTGGCCTATCGAAAATATATGTTCGGCAATTGCAACACAGCGAGAGATTCATAGTTCCAATATCGGTGGAAAATCGTGAATTGAATTGAAATTACTCTTATATACCATGCGCTTACCTGCCCAACGCTAATATCCTCTCCACTGCTCTTTCTGCCGCAATCATAACACCCATGACCGGGTTGGTAGTAAGAGGCGGCACAATACTTGCATCGATCACGAATAGGTTCTGCATACCAATCACCTTCGTGTTTGCATCAACACATGATTCCATTCTGCAACTGCTGCTCCAATGCTGCACATTGCCACGAGTATAAGCACTTGGCGTGGTCAACCAGGTTGAAATCTGCTCAAGCGTGGAGTTCTTCGCAATGTTGAGTGGTGTGAGGGTAGGAGGAAGAGCTTGGAAGATGTTGTGCACGAATGTGGCGATTGCTGCTGCGTCGCGGGGGTCGGAGTAGAAATTTGAGTTCGGAAGGGCGATACCCCTGACGTCCAAGTTCACTCGACCGACAGACCGGAGACCAGAGGTACCGTAGACGTTGAGTGTAATGGTACCGTTTTCCAAAAGGTCCATCGCACCAGCAGAGTCAATGGTGCCTTGGCAACCCACTACATCATCACCCTGCTCGATGTAATCCCAAAACGCGCTCGTTTGAGAAGCAAATGTATAGGGTCCTGAGCGGTTGTTGAGATACAGCTCAACGTCAGACGGCGGTGGGTTTGAGTAGCTATAGCTGTATGATGCGATTTCGTCGGAATACAGCTCGATAAAGGTGTTTGGGTTGTCGAAGACGCCATTGCCGACAGCGGTATTGTTAATCCACTCTTGAGAAGGAACGGTAACGTGACCATTTTTAGAGAGGTTCTTCAAAGTCTCTGCTTCGCCTATACCCGACCACATCAACAGTTGAGGACTGAGAAGTGCGCCGGCGGAAGAGACGACCATTCCACCCTTCTTGATGCAGATCTTGTGTGAACTGGATGCACCATTGGTCTGAACGTCGACACCAGTTGCTACACCGCCATCTCGGCGGACACGCAATACCTTGGTGCCAGTCTGGAAAGAGAAGTTCGTTCTGTTCAGCGCAGATTGAAGATACGTCTTCACTGGCCCACTCCTTTGACCATTCTCATAGTACCAGATGGGATGTCCGAATACCTTCGTCTTGTTATGGTTCTCGATACCGTCATTCAGGCCAATATCCGCATACCCTGCGCCATCAACAAGCCATCGCTTCGCAGCCTCGTAGCCGCTCTGCAGATACCGCTTGCCGTCCTGGGATGGGCTGTCTGTGCTCGGCTGTTTCGTCCTGACCTTTTTAATCGCGGATTGCATGTCGGCGTCCTTCCAGCCATCTGGGAAATAGCGGTTCCAATCACTCGCGGGCGGCTGGAAGAACAGTCCAGCGTTGATGGCGGAGTTACCACCGACAGTGCATCCTTGGAAAGCGTTGACCACATCTGATGCGCAGGTCAGGTTGCCCTCACCCGAGTTCGAGAAGATTGATTTGTAGAGTCCTGGCACATCAACTCGGCTGAGTTCAGTCCCGTTCAACCATTCCGGGCGAGCACGACCGCCAGTTACGTAGTACGATGGGCCACCTTGCTCTAGGAGTAGAGTTTTCTTGCCAGCTTCGCTCATACGGTCTGCTGCGACGATACCTGCTGGACCAGAACCTAGAGATATTAACCTTGGAGTCGGGCCGTTGGTACAGATGCGAACTTACCGACGACAATGACGTCCCATTCACCACCAGCACAAGTCTCTGCCGCAGCATAGCTGGTGAGAACAGCCACTGGCAGCAAAGCCTTCAACAAATAAGATGCTACCATGATGCCGTTTTGAATCTGAGGATTAGAGGTGCTTTGGTCACAGTTCGAGAGGCTGTAGCTCCCGACCGCTAGCAGGCTGAAGGGCTTGCTTTAAGCACCTCATCTCACCTCGGTCATCTAGCATGTACGCTTACTTTAGCCGCCAATTCTAAAGCACGGTGATGTACAAGTACCACCATACTAAGCAAATTTGCATGTTGAAGCTGGAAGCCGACATCACCGAACACGAAGAGGTATGACGCCGCTTACGAGATGGTACGTGCGTGGTGCTAGCCCATCGCCCAGACGCGGGCACTTTCCCTCATCGCACGCGCTACAGGGGCTTGGATCGTACGCCGGTCGATACCAGTGGGGAATTTGAAAATCGGAGCGTTGGTGCTGCGGCTGCGTGGCGGTCGTTGCATTGTTATTTTGGGATTTGGGGCGAGCTGGAGATGTGGCGATGAGGGGTCGAGTACCAAAACTAAGCGGAAGGCGCGGCTGAAGTTGCGACTTTGCGTCAGTCACCCAGTTCTTAACCAGACTACTTTGTTCTTAGATTCCTCCTACGCTTCACAGCACAGATGACGGAGTTATGTGAGAAAGCTTGAGAAGCTTGTTGCGCGATGTTACGGCACTTGCCCGCTCGGGCCGCCTGGGAGCACCGGTAGTGGACTCTTCGTATGAGGCAAGGGTTTTGAAGTGGCACGCGCACGGCGTCGCCACTTGAAATGGAACACTGGAGGCTCAAGAATAGTACCGACACATTAACGGTACCGGTTTTCTCTTCTGGCTTAATCATCGTCAAGACCAGTCACTGTGGCATTGAGCTGTTCAACGATAAGTTTACAACGTACCTCGCAGGTTCGCTAGACACCTAGCTTCGTGGAACACTCCACTAAGGCCTGTTGTGAAGGCTATCCTTAGATGACCTAGGGATTGTTTCTCGAGAACGAGTGAATGTAATGGACATGAGTGCTGTACTAACGCGATTGGTACGTCGATGTGATAGCACGGGGTTTTGAGAATCAAGTACTAATCCTTAGATTGGACACAAATTTGAGCACAGTGAGCTATAGGGGCTCATTGCCTAACACCACATACTAATGAGTATCTTCCTAATCAGTGCTGCTCATTTGTGCCAAGAGCACTGAGCACTAGGTAGTCATACAATTTGCTCGGTGTTGCCCAATCATGCCAGCATTGGACGATCACCTGACTGTTGACAGCCACCGGGTCAATGTCTTTGGACACCCCGATGACTCGCGAACCTCATGGTTTCGGATTTCTCCGTCTGATTGCGACAGGTCGCTAGCGCAACAAGCGATAGGGTACGCAATTTGATAATAGAAAGCATTTAGTGAGACAAGACGAAAAGATTTGGTGTGGGAAAAGACCAAGTATCATACCACTACCTCAAAGAAAGAAACTGAACATCTCTTCAGAGCAAAGCACTTATACCTACTACGATAAAGCCTGCTAAGATCTTCTTAGACATAGATAAGGAATCTTTAAATCTACAATATTATTAATCTTTCTGGAAATTTTCTTAGAAGCTATCAGACAGTATGCTACCAATGGATACTGAGTGCACGAGATGGTGGAGTAATAGTATGTTGTCTGGTGTAGATAGACGAATCGATACTGACTGGTATCCGATTCAGTAGTCCTACTTATATTCGAACTAGCAGGGGTTACAGGAGGCACAAGGCCCCATAGCCAGTCAGGTTCCTGACAGAAGCAAAAGTAGGCGGTAAGCTAGGGTATGTTGTTCCATACTCGTTTGAGTTTTCTGTTGTATACGGTGATATCTTAATACTAAGCCTTTTTTCAGATGTTCTTGTCCTACTACCTTGCAGGATAATCTTCTCGTGTTCGCTAGTAGGCTTGGCTTTGGCATTCAGAGCTTTGAGATGTGCGCAAGCAACATTGCAGACGTCAACTACGACCATGCATATGAGGGGCCTGTGCGAGCGCAGGTAATTTAAATAACGGCAGGAAAGAACGGATGAACATGAAAACTTATTGTCGGCAGCAGGAAATACGATATGATGAATTGCAAAAAGAGGGTAAAAGAGTTGGAGACATTCAAGGCCAAGCATGGCGAGCATTGTCAGGCAGTGACGTTGAAGCTGCTGACGCAGAGGAGCTTTCAGAACAGCAGTAGCGAGGCTGATGCTAAGAGGAATGCAAGAAGAGAATAAACTGAGGTCTATGTGCTTGAGGTTACGGGTAGGATGCAATGGAGTGAGAGAGATCACCCTGTCTGTATGGATATCAGGGGCTAAGCTGATAGATCTGCATTGATGTATTTTTGACGGGAAAAACTTGATCAGAATCCACCGAGACCATCGTCGCTGTCTTCGTAATTATAAGACCAGTCACGATCCGCGTCTCTCTCCTCCCGCTTCTGTGATATTCCCGCCAAAGCCCTCCATTCTTGTTCGTCCACCACTTTACCTAATCCTATGGAGAGCTGTAAATCATCCGAATCGTCATCGTCGACTAAATGGTAGCTCCAAATGTAGTCCACATCCGAAATACAATGCGGCTCATTGACAGCACCAACACGGCACCTAACTTTCAGCAGTTGTACCGCGAGGATTGCCTCTGCCGGTTCTGATTTGGTAGGCGAAGAAGGCGAGGTCATGTTAGATGCCGAATCTACCCGTCGAAATGGAAGGTGGAGTTGTGGTTGCGGGGTTGAAGCTGCCTCGGTTATGGGTTCGTGTGGCATAGCCGCACGCTTATGACAAGGAGATTTGGATGTTTCAAGTCCGGTGACGAAGTAAATTGGCTTCTGTTGTTGTGACATCTTGCGGAGGAAGGCTTGTGTTGTGGGCTCATGACGCAGGTTGTCGAAAACCTGCGATGGTTCATCGATAGTAACATGGGTTGTGGCGTGAGCGTCTTCGTCTTCCGACTGGGATGATAGTTGTCGTGAAGCAGGGGATTTTTGGAGCTTTAAAGAGCTGGAAGAAGGATTCAGAGGATTGGTGAGGAGTTGTCCGAGCGTGACGGACTCTGATGGCAAAGGTGCTGGGAGGCTGAGTAGACGAGACATGTTCGGTGTTGATCTGTGTTTAGATAGGAAGCAGTCTTTGCGATGATATAAAACTTCAGGAAACGGTACTCAAGACAAAGGTGAGGGAATAAAAATGGTCAAGGATGACGACTGGGTCGGCCCGGCTGCGAAGATATATCTTGAAGTTGTGGACTAAGCTCACCGTTTACCAATTACGCAATAGCAAGCATGATGATGCTGGTGCGTTGACCGACCATACTTCTGCTTGATGCTGGGTTTATGTGACGACTGTCATTCGTTGTTAGACTGTCGGTCATACGGGAGGTGATGATCGGCCTCGTTGCGAGCATATAGCTCGGTTACCAAAGGGTTATGAGACCTGGAGCTCGCTCCACAAAGGGTTTTGTTACTTAATTGGCTGATAAAGCCCGCAAACTCACGAATGCGTTACTAGAGGTGCGACCGGATTTGTGGTCTGATGGGGATCGGCTGACTTGTTCCTGAGCTGTTCGCAAACCCTGATCCGACCTCGGGAGGTTAGGCGATATGCATCAACGGGAAGACGCGGAGCCGCATGGCAAACTCTTGTCTACTTCTTCAAAGACTGGTGTGCAAGTACACCACCCTGCTCAGATGCCTTGAATGAAGAGGGACATGTTGAGGAGAGCTAGGTGTATCCCGGGCGTCGGTTCAAGCGCTGGATTCTCGATGCGACGTGGAGTCGGCCAGCACCGGACAAAGGGATGCTAGCTAGCACCTTTGGAGTGCGTTATCAACATGCGAGAGATAACATACGACTGAGATTGAGATTGCAGACAATGTATCGTGGGAGCCGCTGCCTCGGGACAAGGCACACGATCAGGAGGGGTATGTTGTCATGTGAAGTGGCGTCGTGGCGGCGTGGCGGCGTGGCGCGTGGCTGGGCAAACAAGATCGACGCCCTTTGACGTGACGTTGGTCATTGTCATTAAGAGCGTCGCGCTTGCCGTCATTGCACCGTTGCGACTACACTTGACCGTCTCTCGTCCGTTGGAGATGATGGAGAAATGAAGCTGGGCCGCGTCGGTGGGATGGATAGGCATGGCTGTCGCTGCTTCCGGCAGCGGGCGGAAAGCTGACACTGCCACACTACGGAGCAGCAAGTACCGCAGACATGGCAGGCCAACCTCGGGGCCACTTTTGCAGCCCATACACCTATCTTCTATTACTACAGCCAGATTGCCATGGCAGAGACGTCTGCAGCCTCTACTACACATGCACGTCGCCAGAGTGCCCTTGCCGACATCCAATTCGCGTCCATCGTCGACGATGACCTCACACCGTCCGAAGACGAATCGCCCGAGGAAAGGGCGTTCGAGCTCGAGACTGCACAGTCAGCAATTGGAGTCAGCATAGGAAAGCAGCAGACGCGTCTGACTTCGCCCAAAACGCCGGCAGCGGAAAAGGCTGCAGCCCTCGATGAGACCGAAGATGGCGCCTTTTTCGACGGCTGGCAAGAAGCCACCGATTCGACGCCGGAACTGAAGAAAGCGACACCAGCCACCGAGCCCGCCAGACATGTACAAACGGCTGGTGTGAGGCCGAAACCGACGCAAACATCGAGCAATGACGACCGCGAGCGACAATCCGACCCTCGAACGAGACTGCCCTCGCCCTGGCGAGCAGGTCCCAAGACATTTCAGAAGGACAAGGCAGGCGACCACCGATCCATACTCCGCGATCACCTACAGAGCGGGCGGCGACGGGCATCGTCAAGTGGCTCCATGGGGGACACGATGCGCAAATTCATGCCCTTCAGCCTTCCCACGTCCATCACCAAGACCTACAAGGACCTCCACTTTTCCCTCCCGAGTTTGTCAGCATTGTCGCTCGATTCTGAGAAGCCGCGCACGTTTGATCGACGGAGGAGAGACACCTTTGCTAGCGGTGTACCACCTCGGGACATACCGCAGCGAGACGGCGCCAATCACTCCACACCAGGAGAGTCCAGGAGCGCATCAAGGAATCTCGTTCAGATGCCACAACAACCCAGTACCGCCCCAATCCCTCAGCGCGAGTTTAGCGACGACAGCACTTCCACCATTGCCCCATCGCCCCAGATACCGAGCGAACGACCGACGCCCAAGTTACGGCGGTCCAATTCCGAGGGTTCCTTGCTCGTATACCGCACACGATCTTTTGCATCTTCTCTCGGCGACGACACGCGCTTCGAAAGTGTCCAAGAGCAGGTCAACAGTAGGCTGAAGGCCCTTCGAGACAGCTGGGCAGACTCCAATTTCAAATTGCCTAGCCCCTCATTTCCAAACTTCAACTTGGCATCTAGTACCGAAATGTTCAGGAACCGCAACGCCAGTACCACATCCAAGCCACGCGAGACCGACGATATTGCCTCGCAAAAAGCCAATCCCCGCACAAGCGTGCCTGCGCCGGGCTCGCGTCGCGACTCGATAAGGAGGAAGCGTTTACCATCAAAGGGTGGAGACGCCGACACTGAGTCGCATCCGTACTTCACACAAGCTCTGCAGGAGCTCGAGGGTGACTTGGTCATCCTGGGAGGTTATCGGGGGTCCGTCCTTCGCTCTGCAGAACCGCCCCATCGGCAGCTCTGGGTGCCTATAAAAGTGGGACTGAACCTACGTAAAGTAGACTTGGAGGTGCCTCTAGATCCAGATGCGGACGAGCGCATGGAGGAGAGCATCATACCAAGTGGCATGCTGACCCATATTGGCCCTGTCGACATCGCCAAGCGTCTTTTCAAGCGTCTGAATGCCTGTGACAACGTAAGAGACGGTAAGCTTAGGGTCCACAACTACGGTTATGACTGGCGGCTCTCCCCGCACTTCCTGAGCCGGCGGATGATACAGTTTCTAGAGTCACTGCCCTGCAATCAGCCAGGAGTTCCTCCTGAGAAGCGAGGTGCCATCGTTGTCGCGCACTCACTGGGAGGCTTGATCACGCGTCATGTTATCAATCAGCGTCCGGATCTGGTAGCTGGTGTTGTATATGCTGGTGTGCCTCAACGCTGCGTGAATATCCTTGGCCCATTCCGTAATGGCGACGACGTCCTCTTTTCTTCACGCGTGCTCACAGCACAAGTAAATTTCAGTATCAGAACGTCTTTTGCTCTTCTGCCTCTAGACGGAAAGTGCTTCATCAACAAGCGCACCAAGGAAGAGTACCCTGTAGACTTTTTTGACGTTAATACATGGAAAGAACACCGCCTTTCTCCGTGCATAGCAGCGCCCTTGCCTCGCCCTGAGCAACCTAAAGATAGCAACTTCAGCGTTAGTGGCCTGATGAACGCTGTCTCCTCAGCACTGCCCACCTTTCCCGCTCGCAAAAGTAGTACTGCGAGGGATGCCGCCGACGTAGCTCGTAACGCCGCCAACAACGTTACAGAAGGAAGCGTGGAGCAAGCAGGCATGGGCCCGCAAATGGGCCATGAACATAACATCGAGACATCCAAAGAACCGAACCCCGCAACCGACGTCACAATTCCTTACGACAAAGCAATACAGTATCTTACAAGAACACTCGCCGAAATCAAGGCTTTCAAACAGGAACTCGACCACCGACCCGAACACACATCATCAAACTCGTATCCACCCATCGCGATCATCTACGGCAAGTCCACGCCGACAGTCTACGGCGCGAAGGTAGAAAGTCGGGAAGCTATCAAACGCGCGGATGTATATGATGAGCTTGCATTTGCGAGTGGTGACGGTGTTGTACTCGCTCGTGCAGCCATGGTGCCTAAGGGGTACAGTGTCGTTAGAGGCGGTGTCGTATCTAGCGACCGTGGGCACGTTACGCTTTTGGGGGATTTAGAAGCTGTAGGGCGGTGTCTTCATGCTGTTATTTTGGCGAGGCGGAGCGGGGTCGGACTAGGACCTGGAGCGCGATGAGAATCTGTAGATGTCTCCATATTTTACCTGCAATTCACGGAACTCGACCAACCCAGCTGTGCGCTATCCATTGTTCTTTTCTAGGCTATAGAGTTTCACAATTTCCGGCTATTTCATCACTTTGGGGGGAATCAGACTAATCGAAGTGAACTGTGAGGCGGGTCGGCCACAACATAACTGTTTCGATATTGTGGCGACAAAGTGTTGCTGAACGTCCGTAGACAGATCTGAGTGACCTGGAAATCCTACATGAGCTAGAAGCTGTACGGAAGTAATTGCACGGACTCAGGTGCAGCAAAGAACGCAATCGGAATCGCGTGGGTTCTGTTGTGCTTCCATCGGCCCTTCTCTCGGCATCATTCACCCGGTTATGGGGATTCGTGTTGTCATCGGTCAGCGTACGTGAGGGCGGAGCGGCTATAGGCGACAAAGCGGTACGGGCCATAGTGGCATTCGGAGGTTGAGTTCGATCGAAGTCGTATTTCGATGATAGGCATATGCCACCGTGTGGGCACCTATCCGTATCTGGCCAACCCTTTATGAAACATCGTCTCGTGTCTCTCCCATTTGAACTCTGGGTCAACTTCAACACTGAAGCTTTGGAAGGTATCGCTATGAACACATCTATAGATTAGTGCTCGATATTTTATTCTTTTTCCATGTATAAATGAGAAGCGTCGGATATACTTCCTCGGTTCAGATGGTCTTGATGATGCATACCTTCGATTGCACAATATTTGTCGTGAGTACTCTGAGGGGTGATAAGCTTAGGATCAAGTTTGAAGCAACGAACGGATCAATCTCGCAACGACGAGAACTGACTACAAGAGATGGCGGCGCATTGTCGTGAGTGCTTATGCTCATGTCCATGGCATAGAGTGGTAACATTGGTGATGTTGCTCCAGGCGAGGTAGTGTTGAGCCACGATTTCCATTATATTTGTGGAACTACAAACCCACGAAATAGCAAGAATCTCTTGTCAAGAAGCAGCTGTCCTCCTACGAGGTGGCATAAACGAGATGTCATTTGAGCGTGCCCTCTCGTGAGACAGATTCACACAGTTTGGGCCGGACATCATGCCATGCATGCATAGAAACGCTACGGAGTTCCGTAGCGTCCTGAGGCGTGTATGCTATGTGACGAGACGTGAACAGGAGTGCACATCAGCCGATGGGATTGACCTCCATGTGCCCAGCTGGTTTGTGGCGTCGAAAGAAGTCCTTCCAATTGCGGGTTAGTAGCCTTGGCGTGGTCGGCCTTGCTGGTACCGTACCCTGGTACTCCGCTAATCTCGTTGGGAACCTCCGTTTCCTCCATCGTCTTCGATCATGTCGCCAATCGCTCCATCTACTCCATCTGGTTCCAAGTAGCAGCAACAGCCCTAACTGAGATCATTTCCATCCAAGTCAGGTTTGCTGCAGCGAAGCGAGATTTCGGGCTCGGATTTTCTACGAAGTCGCGATCCTCCATCTAAGCGCGCGTATGCAGCTCTGACCATCACATCACATCACCATCCAATTCAACTGGGCGGTCAAGCGATGACACGCAGCGGGGATAAAAGTATGCTGTCGGGGATGCGGCATTAAAAAAACACGTTTCTCGATCCCGGTGACTCTGGTAAGTCCAACAGCGCGGGGGGCATGGAAGGTCATGGTTTTGGTTACCGTTCAGGACTCATAACCCTGCACTTAAGGCTGTGGCGCCTTATCGGCGAGTCGTGGCTGTTCGCTGAAAGTCAGTGACTGAGTCTCCCAGCACAAAACTTAGACATTTTCTCGAATCCGCAGGCACGTATACACATCAAGCTGTAGCGCTATTCCGAAAGGACCTCTTACTCCTCGGATGCTACAGTACCAAGCATCCTTCTCTTCGGTACCGACTCTGAACTAGTCTTCTAATACCCAGCTACTGCTCAGGATCGACAGCGCAATATCACCCTCAACAATTTCAAATCGCTACTACAGCGGAACCCTGTTCTATCGACGGACAGCCCGATCACGCTTTCCTTCAAAAACACGCCATATCATCGCTTACGATTAAGGCATGCTTTGCTTGGCAAGAGGCCCCTCGGGAGGTATGGTGGAACGGGGCCTTACCACAACCAGGTCCCAGCTGCATCATACTAATCACTCCTCCAAGGTCTTGACTTTGAGTAATTCCCGTTAGCGTCGAACGGGAATATCGCCTGATCAGGTCTATCAGGGATGCAACGATTGACGGTTCAGTTGCAGTCTCTTGTTCATGTATGGTGAGTCTTACGAAGACTTTTCGTACACACACTTCAGATCCAAAGTTTCCTACACACGTGATACGCCGGTTCATGCGTGGCGTCAAATGACCAATTGCGGGATCGCCGCTTCTTGCGAAAGCCAATCCAAGAGCCGCGCCTTCATGAATTGCCTATGCCTGCGCAGCTGTCAATGGCTGGCAACACATGGTCTTATCGAAACCAGACCATTCGAGCCACTCGACAAACTGCTTCTGCCACAAATGCGGGTACTTCACAACATATCCTGCATCCCCCAATTGGAGAGCCTGCCGGAAGTCTCCGTACCCGCGACACGCGCTTCCCCCACAGACCAGTTCTTCATGTTCGCTCGATATTGCCATCTTGGTACTGGCCCCCCAGATACGGCTGCTAGCGTCAATAGCCATGCCTAAGGGTCTGTTTCTCCCGCACTCAGTCTTTGTAGTTTGGCCAGCACGCCACACTCTAGTAGCCTCCGACGGTCATGTTTTAGAAGGACCACATTCACGGCCTAATTGAATTCAGTCAGTCCGATGCTTCCATAGCATACGCCACAGGTCTTGATCTATGTCGTGGCTCAAGGGGAAAGCGGCCAGTAGGTAACTTAATTAGCCTCTACAGCTTGAGATTCAACCAAAAGTGGCTCGTAACACGTTGATCGACTGCTGACTCGGATCGATCTTCGCCACGATGGGAACCCCCCCAAGCCGTGCCGCATTACTGCTCGCATCGTTTCGTCGACTTATGCGAGATAGCGATGATTTCAACTAAATTAGCAGTGTGGTGGAGACGTTAGAGCTCACTCAACATGTCGCCGCCACGTCAAGGTGCGATCACAATGATCCGAACTGTACAATCTTTTGTGTGAATTGTTTCCAAGTTCATACCCTACGCCACCAGAGCACTTATGGCTCTGTGGCTTACCTTCTGGTTCGAACAGATTCGCGAGTTCCACATATTTTGAAGACCCAACGTGCTTCTGATTGCAATCAGTAATCACCATTTGAGCTAAAGTGCTGGCATGAGAAACCCACCAGCACTGCAATCTGAATGGCTGATCACTGATGCGATGACCACTAAAGTCGAGTATTACAGTAACTTTTGGTTTCTGACATCATCTATGATATGTATAGTTGCAAATAGTATGTGTGGCTGTAGTAGGGGCCTTTGAAACAAGTTGAATGCAGCATCAAAGAGCTTGGGTTGAGCACGGCCTTCGATATGCAAGAAGCTCGGCTTCATCTTCCCTGGTGCTTAAGCGACAACGGTGCATCCTGCTGCAGCCGGTAGGTGGCTGTCATACCCAAAACTACCGTCCTAGTCACAGGTCTTCTCCATTCCTCAATGCCCAGTTTGGTTAGCCGTATACAACATCCATACCCTGGCGGTCGACCCATCCTTGCCACACGTCAAAGCACAGGGCTGACTAGGTCAGTAGCTTCCCCACGTAACAACGGCTGAGCAGACGCCATCAAGCAGACGCGCCGTACCCACATTGAGACCCTAATCAGACAGATCGTCGTGACCCACAGAAATGTTAGGCCCCTACCGCTTGTTCGGGAGAATGTATGAGACGTCGACCAGAAACTACCTCGGTTGCAAGTATCTGCTTGAGAGACGGCCGAAACAACGGCATTGCAAATGAAAGTAGTGTATGAGCAGCGTCAGTCGGCACATAGGAGCCAGGGTACATGCCTGCAAAACTGCCATCGCCTAACAAAGCCAGATCTGTCCATGACCCGAGTATTTGGCTACGCCGCATATCAACATTCACCCATGTCGTTCGAGCCGCCTGTTGTTTGTTCGCGGTCAGGCTGTGCATGCAGCCAAAGCGGCATGCATGCCTGGCATCGAGTATGCCAAGTCGCTCAGGTACCAAGCTGCTGGATCTTTCGATCATTAGCATTCTTTCGTGTGCTGGTAGGCCCTACTGAAATGCTCCTCGGAAGATGTGGCATGGTCTTTGGCTCACTATTGCATCTGATCTATATTAAATGGATATGCTCCTGTCAGTGTAACAATCAACTCCAGATCTCAGATCTAGCAAGTCTTGTGATATGGAATATCCTCTTGTTCATACACTCCTATCTAAGTGTGTGTATCATATACACACAGTTTGTTTGCCTACCCGACGCCTACGATCCTCGCTGATTGACACTCAGTAGCACTTCACCATGATGGAGCAACGACGAGTCCAATCTTTCACCTCTAGCCCCCACCAATATGTGGTGAACTATGCTGGCTCACACCATCTTTCGAGATGTGACTCGCATGAACCCTTGACTTCAAAGCCTAGTCACGGATCGTTCGACGAACGATCATATGCCCATCATTACGCTCAAGAACCCATAACTACAAGGTCATTAAGCGCCTCATTAGATGCCTTTGATCCTTGGGTACTTGTGGAGCCGCCTTGCGGTAGCCCTCTATCGACAAGCTCGTCGATCAGTCATACTGAGAGCGTCCCCACTCCGCCTTATACTGGTATGGCTATGTACAACCAAGCGGACTCGTCATTTTATCAACACATCCGTTCCCTAACCGTTCATGACGCTTGGTCAGAAGAGCCAGAACCTGTCTGGAGGCCTAGCTATCCCGCTACGACCACGCCCATTCATACAAATCAACATCCTGGAGCTCCCTTCTCATGTTCCCCGCCACTGTCATCTTCAACAGCTTCATTTGGATGCAGGCCTTCAACCCCTCCAACAACAGGCGCCTCGTGGGGCTCGCAAGAATACTCATTGCCCTACCAGGACGATCCAACTTGCAACCAACTGCATCTGCAACCGCTGCAAGGTTACATCCCCCAAGCTGGCCCTTCAGCAGGAACAGCTTACATGTCGTATCCTGCATCAGTTCACTACTCAGCTGCTGGGAATGTTGACCCGGCATCATACAAGCAAGAGTTGGCCAATGATTCTGAAAACAGTGAAATGGACACTGACTCGGAACCTGAAGACTCTGAAAGCGACGATGATGACTCATCGCAACAATCCTTCCATCCTACCTCTCGGGGATCTGGAGCAAATTCCAGTGTTATGAAGCTAGGGAAGTGGAGTACTATGCCATGCTCGTTCCCAACTGCCTCGGAACCAAGGCCCTACGTATGTCATTTGGAGGATAAGGATCATCCCGGCAGCCCATGCCCGAAGAGATTTGTACGCCCAGAACATCTTCGACGCCACGTCAGGACTGTTCATAGTGCTGTGAGAAATCACGGTTGTAAAGTGTGTCCGAGGCATTTCTCGAGGGGAGATAATCTTCGAGATCATTACTGGACACATTTGCAACGAGGTGGAAGGACTGGCAAGAATCCTAAGATGAGCTTGCCCGAGCTGAAAGCCTTTCTCGGTCCGAAGGAGAAGCTGCTTGTGAAGCGTCTCAAGACGAAGCTACACAACGCTCAGATAAAGCAAACGAAGTCAAAGCCTTGAGTGAGAGCAGCTTCAATCAGGACAATCTAGACATGGTTGCTTGTTCAAATGTTGTATATCGATTTTTCATGGTATCTGGCGCTGGGGAGGCAAGTCATCAACGTGCTTCGGCATGCTTCTGTACCATCTGCTTTCGTGACGTGTTGTTTATAGAATACTTTGCTACGCACACGTACTTGAATGGCAATAGAATGTTAAAGAAAATCCTACTTTTACGCAAATGTTCCAAATCCTCTGAGCATTGCGCGTGAGGAAATGAGACCGGAAGTCCGTAACGCAAGCTTGGCTGTGGTCGTTTGCTAACCGCGAGAACTAGCATAACGCCGTTAGCTCATTATCACCCGTTACTCGGCGTCCAGTACCGAGGTGGAGTCCTTCTCGCATGGCGATCCGCAAAGGCCATGACAATATGGCCCGACTACACGCTAATGCATGAAGGTAAGCACAACTTTCGGGATGGAACATGCATGGAAGGCACGTATATCGGTCAGAAGATCAGATACGGCCAATCACTTGTCTTCGCAGGAAAAAATTTGGGGGTCACCCACACCAATTACACAAAGCCTCGAGGGCAAGGTGAAGCGAACGCCCGATTCGCTAGTTCTTGTGAGGGGTATGTTGGTGTTGGCTGACTGTTGCAGCTCATCAGTGGGTGTACCAAAGCGTACATTGCATGGTAGCTAAGATTATACCCTGGGGAGAACAGCATTTCAAAGCCTCAAAGGAAGCTGAGTAGTCTATCTAGAGGCTGGAATCCTTCGCACTGACCATGAATACAGGATGACCTTCCAATGAGGGTGTTTTAGATGCGAACGTCAGTGTCGGAATATTGCACGATCACCTAGGTACAGATGCCCAGATGCGATCTGACGATGGAGGAATACCAATCGAGACTGCAGGCTCTACATCGATATTGTTTTGTCCCGCATCCGGCAAAGCGAGATTGTGATCGATTTGGATCTGCATCCCACCAGCCTCGACCTTGAGAATGCGTTGGGAGGGCAGATCCACCAGCACATACCATCGTCAGATCCATGAGCGAATTTGTGGTCAAAGAAGGACAATAATCTATCATTCGCGGGTTAGAAGCCGGTTCGAGTGGACGTATGGGGGGCCATAACAGCTTTCCGCGCACCGCAGCGCTTAATCAAGCCAACAGGAGAGTGGCACAGCAAGCCAGTATCCGGCGCAGCAACCTTTCTGAGATTAGAACCCGAGGACTCACCCGCATTAAACGCCTGTTCTGATCGCGGCTTGAACCCCTACGCTAACTAATTTGGTCCTAGAGTACTTGGGTTCGCTTTGCCTTGTCTTTCTAGGTTGCGCTCGTAGGAACGGTAACAAGGTATCGAGGCTAAGGATGATATCAGTGTTTTCATGATATGAGACTCTCAGACATGGGAATCTCAGGCCAGGGAGCTTTCAAGAACTGGGTGCACAACCCTGCGTAGGTAGAAGCGGTTCGGTAAGAGCGAGAGAAAGGTCTCGATGCCGCACCTCAACCCACAATAGGGAGAATCATAGCTGTAGTCTGACCAGGATTACAGAAACTGACCTCTATGCATACCAAAATAAAGACGCAAAGTCACGACGTCTTACCCAATATAGACGCAAAAGAGGAGCATACTGACCGCATTTTCTGCGCTACCTGCTGGCAGGTGATCCACTTCCCCACTGTCAATCCTTTCATGATGCAATCGGAACAACGTCTGGTGACAATTGGCCAGTTCTCATCCGATAAACTACCCGTTAACCATTTGGCCCGGGTCCAGATAGGGTGGATGCCGGCCATGTGGGATGAGGCAGGTACCGACCGGAACCATAAGTCATTCATGCCCTTGCATACAACGGCTTCACTTGGTATGCAGGCCTTCTAGATCAGGCACGAACACCATAGAGTGACGGTTGGGTATGCGCACATCTTTCAATATGGACTGAGCCTCAAGCATGCGCTTGAGGTTGATGCGACAAGGCCTGAGCTCTTGCATGCGTGAGCCGAATCAAGATGCAATCGAGACGAATCGAATCGAATCAAATCCATCAACCCAATCTTCCCTGCCTCAGTATGTCTGTGCCTCAGCCCAAGCCCAAGGTCTTTTTTTAGGATTGAGAGTCTGCATCTGAAGTCTCTGCCCATGTCTGCACATCGGTTGACCTGCTACACACCACTAGCTCGTACTGATTGGTAGCCAGGCGCATCTTGCGCGACATGCGGTGTAACATCCATGTCCCTCCTTCATTGAACCAACATCTCTTCTTTGACGCACTCTGCATGATCGCCAAGCTCCCGCTAACGATAGCTTCCGCTGTGATTGCCGGGTCTGCCACAGTATTGTGTCGATAGGCCTACGTATACGGCGTCTAATCTCCAGCCAACGACCCTGCATGCTTCCTTCACATCTAGCGTACAGGGTGGATCGCCTGATCAACGTCTCCCGCTTACAGCAAATCACGCTAGATGTCGCTAATGCTGCATCTTACCCGGATTGGACGCGAAGAAAATATCTGCGAGCCTTCTGTTAGCCTTAGAAGAGCGGTCGGTAGACGCATCTCTGACGAGACAACAAAGCCCTTGCGTGGATGTTCTCGAAACCCTGCATACATGGCAGGCAAGCGGACAGACGAACCTTCAGCGACCCGAGCAAACTTGTTGGTGGAATGTCGGTAAGGCCTGCCAATCATGGTCAGCCCTTCAGTCATGTGATCTTCCAGACTCAGCTTATCAACGCCAAAGATGCCCAAGTGGACTGTGCGACCTCAGATTTCCCGCCTTCTAGAACGGCAATGTTTAGTGAGCCATGAGTTCCAGCTTGACAATGCAGCTGCATGTTGCTCTCAATGTAAGATGACGTTCTTTGTCCCTTTCTCCCGCATTCGCTACCCCACGTGTCTATGCGTATGCCACATCGCTTGCTTCGCCTCCACATCTTTTTGTCCCCGACCATGAGGCCCAACACACCATCTCAGCTCTGTAGCGTGCCGACACTGCTATTCTTACTACCACCTGGTGAATGGCTTGAATGATACCGCAATGCACAGACATGACTTGAAAAGAGCGCGAATGTGATTTGGGAGCTAAAGGACGTGATGTGAGTAGTGCTTGAAAATCGGACGCAGAACTGTTGCAGGACGGATGTCCAAGGTCTTGTAGCGGTATTGGTCCTGTATCGTGATTATGGCGGCAAGGCCTTGCGGACTCCGACCTACGGTGGCCCCGATTATCAGCTGAACGGGGAGGTTCACATGTCGAGTTTGCGTATCCTATAATGCCGATCAGAATTCTCCATGGGATGTCTTAAGATCTCCCAGCACCAGCGAGTTTTCATTCGCTGGTGCACCTTCTTGGGTTGTCCGAATACGCCTCCACCAATTACACTTGAGCAACGCATCAGCGACAGGTGAACTATTTGGGTAGGAGTTCACCTCGCAGTATGGCACCGGTCCAGGGTGTTCCATCTGGCAGCTAAAGAGACGAAAGCGGCAACGATGTGGATCAGGCTAGACCGGGCCTTGCAGTTACAGAGGTAGAGAGTGAGGAGACTGCCTCAGTACAACAGAGTGGTATCTGAAGACCCGCAACGGCAGATCTTTGGAGCTAGGCTTCTCTACGTTCACAGCCAGGAAGGGTTACCCAAAGCGCGATTGCCCCTTTACCCTAGCGTGATCACTGTGATGACGTCCAGAGATTTTGCTTAACATGAAAATGCACCGGAGCGATTGAGAGAAAGCAGGTGAAAAGGTAAGGAGGCGCTCAAAGTCTGGCGGCAGTCCAACGATTTGGAATCTTGAGATTTGGATGCATTTGCACTACCTTCTTCAGGATTAGCGTTAGCTCTGAGTCTTGGGAGTATTTACAGCCACTCACGCGGTTCGAAAGATACTTGCAAGTCTCGTATAGCTGCTAGCTCATACGGCTTCGGTGCCGTCTTCGAGTCGCAGCAAGGATGCGGTGAAGTTCATCACTGAGATTGTTTCCTACCACCGTCCTCTGCCTCTGCCACGATCGCGCCAGTCATCTTCACCTCGCCCTCTTCCTCCTCTTCCAAAGCCTGGCTCCCGCTCTGGCGGCGCTTCGCCTCTCCTCCATTCACCAAATGGTACGCCTCTACCTAGTCTCCCGTCATCAAATCTACCTCCACCTCCTCTGCCCCCTCTGCCAAACCCACCATAGTCGCCTCTTCCACCGAAACCGTTCTCGCGCCCCCGCCCGTACTGTCCTGGAGGTCCCCTGCCCGGTCCAGATAGTGGCGGAGGGGCAGCTGGTACACTGCCGTCGGGCAGCGGCGGGAGTATAGCACATGCCACATAATCGCCTATCATAAACCTGACATCTGCCAATGTCTTGTCTGGGTCGCCATCGAGTTGCTTGAGAGCCTCTGCAGCACTTTGGCCGTCGGCACCTTCCATGTCGGTGTCCTCATTCCGTGATGGCGCGCCTACAATGACCGAGCCTATGTCTCGCGATATGAAGCGTCCTGGTGCGTCTGGCCGGTTGGAGCCTTGGATGTCTGGGTAGACGAGTCGAAATGCGATACGCGATCCAGTATACGGTTGTGGTAGTAATGTCGGAACTGCGCTGAGAAGTAGCGTGCATAGTTCGCGCAGATTACAGCTCTGCCATGTGTAGATTTGAACGTTTCTTGGAAGGCGTGGTAGTGCTGGGTCAAACTCGTCTAGCCTTTGGTTTGTCAGGCGAACAGTCGGTTTGAATGAGCGAATAGACACAGAAACACATACCTGTTAAATGAGCCCTGCTTGAAGAAGAGGCGCAAGAGGAAGGGCGTTGTTGTTTGACGGTCAATCTTGGCAGGAGCAGCCATGACGAGCTATGCAGCCTTGTAGGCAGTCAGAATGGCGGATATAGCGGGATGTTCGCGATGGTTCTGCCACAAAGTCGTGGGGATTTCGTGACAGTGTGACGTCAGGCGCGGGATGCGGAAGTATTGTTGGAGAGCTTGAGTGAAGGAGCGCGACGCGGAGAGCTCCCACTAGCGCCATACTTCGGCAAGCACCCTGCAGCCCAGGTGAATGCCCAGGTCGCAACTGTCACTCACCCATCCTCGACACGTCAAATCACACCACACACGGAACGTCACAATCGCAAACATGGACTTCGCGAAGCTGATGTCAGCTCACATCAAGAAGGGCAAAGACACAGCCTCGCCTGCCGAGTCAACCGAGAAAAAGTACCTGAAGCGCAGCGAGATCGAAGCGCAACGGCAAGCTGCATACGTCGCGGAGCAAGAAGCTGCCGAGAAGGCGCGGCGAGAGCGGCTGGAGAAGAAGCGCAAAGCTGAGGAGGACGAGGCTGAAAGAGAAGCTGAGCGCCGGGAAAAGCGAATGCGCATGGCCGAAGAATCAAGACGCATAAGAGAAGAAGAGGAAGAGGCAGAGGAAAGGCAGCGGCGAAAGCGACTAGGGCTCCCTGATCTTCCGCCCAAGAATAAGGAGGGCGAAGGAGATGGTACACCGGTACCCGAAGAGGAAGACATCGAAGACGAAGAGCTGGTCGCAAAGCTGAGAGCCCTCGATGAACCAGCGCGACTGTTCGGCGAGACGCACAAACAACGTCTCAAGCGATACAAGAAGCGCGTGGGCGCGGACAGCCTCGCAGCCATCATGACTGACGGTCCGATACCTACAACACTACAACTAGTGCCCGAGAAGGACATGAAGGTCAATCTCCAGGTACCCAAGGACAAGCAAGGCCGTGAGTTCCTCTTCAGGCAACTAGCGAGCTACTTTACCATGGTGCTGAAAGAATGGGATCTCACGCTCCTACGTCGAGATGCCCAAGTCAAAGAGAGTTATCAAGGAAAACAAGCCTATGCTGCTATGGTGCAAGCACGTGAAAACATGCGACCCCTATTCAAGAAGCTAGAAAAGTTCGATCTTCCAGACAGCATCGTCGAACCCGTTGTAGAGATTGTGCACGCTGCACAGGAGCGAAGATACGTCGACGCGAATGATGGATATTTACGTCTTAGTATTGGTAAAGCGGCATGGCCCATCGGTGTCACCATGGTGGGTATTCACGAGAGAAGTGCGCGAGAAAAGCTGCATGAAAGCGATAAGAATGCGGCACATATCATGAGTGACGAGATGACCAGGAAGTATTTGCAGAGCATCAAACGATGTTTGAGCTTTGCGCAGACCAGATGGCCGCCAACCGATCAGTTGCAGCTTATGGGTTAAGACAATATATGAAATCACTAAATATCCATAGGCCAATACAATTAAGCAGTACAATTCCTTACCCCGTACGCGAAACTTCACTTGGTTATTTTCATCTCGATTTTTTACAAGCAGCAATGGAGCGTCACTGCTGTAGTGGAGTCGCTCTTTCCTCGTCGCGTGTCCACGTGCGGGGCAAAAGCAGAGCTTGACCTCACCAATCACCTTTTGCCTCCATCTGCACCATCGGCGTTTATTTCATCTCACTCCCTTAAACTAACACTAACTCGTCGTTTATACAAGCTACTTTGAGATTCTGTCACGCAACTTTCTTCACGATGCACGAAGTCGTGACTTTACAGTTCGGCAACCAAAGCAACTACCTGGGCACTCACTTTTGGAATACACAGGTAAGTTGCGAGATCTTGGCATTCCATCAATTACCACTCCCGCGAACCAGTTCCATAGCGCACTGACTTCTAGCGCTGGAAATATCGAGCTCGCACACTCTTTCATATACATTGCTTCCACATTGCGCCCACTGTTCTGGTCACCTCACATATCTGTCTCATGATCCATTGTGCCAAGTTGCTCATTACGCTTAACCTGACATCCTCATAGGAGTCCTACTTTACATATCCACCTGAGCCAGAGTCGCCTGTCAACCATGATGTACTTTTTAGGCCAGGTGTTGCTCCAGATGGATCCGATACCTTCACACCAAGAACGCTCATATACGACCTTAAAGGTGCTTTTGGCAGTATGAGAAAAATCAATGCGCTGTACGAGGCCGAGGACGACAGGAGTATATTAGACCAGAACGGAGTTTGGCCATCCAAGCCTGTTGTCCAGCGCGCAGCCGAGACTATCCCACAGTCCGCCTACCAAGAGCACCTTGATGCCGGCCTGGATCCTCCCCCACTCAGTGCATCGTCTGTCCGGTACTGGTCTGACTACAGCCGTGTCTACTATCATCCAAAATCGATCGTTCAATTGTCTGAGTTTGATGTAAACGACAAGCTCATGCCTTTTGAGAGTTGGGATGTAGGCATGGAACTGTTCGAAAAGCTTGAGAGGGAGGTCGACTTAGTCGATAGAGACCTGCGGCCATTCGTTGAAGAATGCGATGGTATTCAGGGATTGCAAATCTTCACGGGTGTTGACGACGCTTGGGGAGGCTGGACGTCAGGTTGGCTAGAGAGATTGAGGGACGAGTACGGAAAGTTGAGTATATGGACCTGGGGCTTGGGTGACCACGGCGCCAATACTACGACTCCTCGGGTAGGTCATTGTTCAACATTACAATACAGCGAATTACTAAAACACTTTAGGAAAAACGTTTGCAACAAATCACAAATTCGGCACGATCGCTCCACGTGCTTGGCGAGCAGTCATCAGTATTTGTGCCAATGTCGAATAGTCCCGCCAAACTACCAGGTTACTTGTCAGTCGACACCACGTCGCCCTGGCACATTGCGGCTTTGCAAGTCGTCGGTCTGGAGAGCATGACCATATCTTCACGATTAAGAGCATCTTTGGGCGGACGAGGCACGCTCCAGGATCTGGAAAACACCATCAACAGTACAGGAAAACGACGCATAGCAAAACTCGAGATGAGTTTGGCAGATCCAGACGTTTTATCAGCTAAAGCTTTGGACGAAGTCGAACAAGCAGAAAAAGTCGGTTCCATGACGTCGAGGCAGACTAGTGAAAATGACGATCGACTAAGTAATTTTGATATTGATACCTTCAGTCGCGAATATAGGACGGCTACCAAGAAAGGAAAGAAAGAACACGTTTTTGGACGGGCAGAGGCTTCTCGTGGGGAATGGGTTCTGTCTCAGGATAACGAACGTGATCCTCATGACAGGTTCGACAGTGGACCAGCATTGCAGAGGTGAGTATCTGCATTTTGTACTACAATATGCTTTGTTGCGATTGGACGGGTCTGCAACTGTTTGATCCCCTCTTGTGGCTGCGACGTTGATGTTACGTCCACTGCATGGTCAGGGTGAGACGCCGGAATTCGAACGTATGCTAATGTGATCCAGGTTTGCCGCACCACTACTATTTCCTCTACTTGACAGCTTTCCTCGGTCGATATTGGATGTAGGGTCCGATCACTTCACTAAGCTCGCCGTGCACACTGGACTCACGACAAGCACCGCTGTTGCTGATCAGATCCGAGCAGTAGAGCAAATCGTCAAGCGGATGACGGGCATCGAAGAAAAAGAAACACTTTGTAACGGCTTACAAGTTCTTGCAGAGGAGTACGATGAAGGCTGGGATAGCGGCACAGAAAGCGATGATGACGATTAGTCGAGCTGTACTAGACTTGACGTGCTTTTGCGGATCTGGTGCACAGCGTCTTCATGGAAAATACAGCGCGTCTGCCACCAGCGTCAATGTACACAGCGTACGTGATCAGTCAGCCACACCAGTTCAATCTACCATGTCGGTTATCAGTCACACGATTGCTAGGCAACACAACGTATGAGACCGCCTGCACTACCCGTGTGGATTCGTCAAAGTACGACTCAGGGCTATGGAACAACTGTCAATCATCGAGCAACCCCAAGATCTGACGTATGTCGAGGTGCCGCTAGTTGCAACTGGAGAAGCTGAGCGACGAAAAAAAGGCTTTCATCAACCTCAACCTACGAATGATGTTTGGACAATATTCCCGTGCTGATATCAGATTGTGTCACTCGTCACACATCGTGCTTCGATACTTCTAGGACTCCAAGCAAGGGTCGATCGACCGGACAACAGATAGCATGTTCCACACTCTTAGCAACTGTTTCGTGATCGCAATCTAGAACCAGGATTGGCTTAAAGCGAGGCCATGATCTGCTGGTGGACCAACAGAAGATCTGATGGTATTGATAAAATTCGTTTTTCCTACGCTTGTGCAGGGTGGTGGAGCTTTCCGTTCGACCGTTGTGCGTACGCAGGTATTACGGCCGCTTGCGCGAAGCGCCAGTGAGCAGCGATGCCGGAGTACGCGGCAGGTCTTGTTCGTCCTACCAGCAGAACTAATTTCAAGTGTGCTGCGATCCTCTCAGCCCACTGCCAAACGGCGGCTGCAGCTGCAGGAATCATCGCCGACTTTCAAGCTGACGCGTGATTAAATCTTCACGAGGACAGGAAATGGAACTTCGAGCCACAAAAGCATCACGATCGTGCTGTGCAAGACTGCAGGTACTGGTTGGAGCCATGCGGGGTAACGGAGGCAAGCGAACGTTACGCCAACCTGCTGGGACACTACCAGTCTCCAGGGAGTCCACCAACCGCGTTGCGCTGAGGCTTTCACGATATAGTAACTCACTGGTTTTCAATACATGTATCTGCAGCCACGGTCTTGGCTACTAACAGTGGCCGGTTCAAACAGTCAAAACTATTGAGACTGGCTACGCTGTTCCCACGGGTGGCATGAACACGGGAAACAGTTCGCGCAATGCACATGTCTTCTTGCCGCGTCTGAGTACTTCCCGTATGCGAAGGAGCGAGAATCTTAGTTCGCGCAGTTCCCGGCTCAGCAGAAGTTGGGAAATTGTGTGGCTGGATCCTTGTTACGGAGCGCAAATTCCCATTTTACAGTCTTTGAACAACAAGAGAAGGGAACTTTGTTTTTCGCTATATTGCTCAACACCGATATCAGCAGTGTCCAGATATTCGATTGGCGGCGCTGTTCTACGGAGTCTCACTATCCATGCACAGCCCGTGGCTCGCGAGAGATGAACCCACAATGCCTTAACGGCACTTACTCCGCGCAATGCAGGTTAATTGCCTAGATCCGGACTTATATTGTGACCTTTATCTCACCGAATGGTACCAAACAATATGAAAACACGGTTTGGAGGCCAGTATTACAGCGCTCGCTTTGTACAGCTGGAGAGCTATGCCGTTTCTAGACTGCGTGATGTCACTGCCAGTTAGTCTTTGTTATGGTGGCTGGAGTACAGCTGTAAGCTCCAACTTTCAACGCTGCCAACCATATATTGGACGCCTTTTCCTTCCAAGGCTTACTCCACGGACTATTCTGGTAAGCTTCATGCACCTCGATAGAACTTGGTATAGTCGTGGGCTGACCACGGAAAGTGTTGGCCGGTTGCTAGGGCAAATTTGGCCAGCGAGCGTTGCTAGACATGTCTCACACTCTGAAGGAGCCTCATTCCATGGTATGATCGACGTTACAAACATGATGGACTTGTGGAGACTTTGAACTAAATTCCGTTCGCATGATTGTGGAGAACGACTTCAATGCCCCTCAACCATCGTGCGTGGATGTGACCCTGTTGTGGCTTTTTATGGGTATGGCAAAGCAGGAGGCTGGTAGACTGCGGAGATCCCGCCTCTCCTAATGAGTATATTAAGTATATCCTTCTCCTCTGTCTTATCTGTCGTGCCATTCAAGTTCTACTAAGTCTTCGAACACTTCTACAGCAGCTCTTTCGCTACGGTTGCTTTGTTACTTCAACTTCGCACCTCCGACTTGATCAACTTTGATACAAACAAAAATCCCCATCCAAAGCAAAATGAGATACTCTTTCGCGATGATGGCCCTTGTGGGTGCTGTCTACGCTGCTCCCCATGGCGGAGGTAACTACGGCGGACACAAGGGATATGGCGGATCCTGGGGCGGAGAGTCCAAGGGTGTAGAGTCTAGCGGAGAGTGGAGTGGTGAGAGCGGCGGAGAGTCTGGTGGCGAGTACGGCGCATCTACCGGTGGCTATGCTATGCCGTCTTCTGTAAGTCGTCGCCGAGATCGCCAATTGTTCGATCGTCAAGTTCTGACAACACACAGGCCGAGTACGATGTTCCTTCATCCTCCGAGGCCCCAGCGATCTCCAGTGGATACGGCGGACCCCCTCCCGAGGCGTCCAGCACTCCTTGCGATGAGGAAAGCAGTAGCGTCCCAGAGGTCTCGAGCACTGTCCCTCCAGTCGTATCCTCATCAACCTACACTCCGCCTGTTGTCACCTCCACCTACACTCCCCCGGTGGTTACTTCAACCTATACTCCTCCTGTTGAATCCTCCAGCACACCCTGTGAGGAGACCAGCACCCCTCCTGTCGTTACATCCACCTACACTCCCCCAGTTGTGACTTCTACCTACACTCCTCCAGTCGTTACCTCAACTTATACTCCACCGGTGGAATCATCCAGCACGCCATGTGATGAGACAAGCACGCCTCCTGTTGTCACATCTACATACACCCCTCCGGTTGTCACCTCCACCTACACTCCTCCTGTTGAGTCCTCCAGCACACCCTGTGAAGAGACCAGCACCCCTCCGGTTGTTACATCTACCTACACTCCTCCAGTCGTGACTTCTACCTACACTCCTCCGGTCGAATCCTCCAGCACCCCATGCCCAGATACAGAGACTGTTACCGTACCGCCCCCCAGCTCGACTCCCGAGGTCTCTACTACTACCATTGTAGTCCCCCCACCAAGCTCTACACCGGAAGTTCCTGTATCATCGTCCACTCCTTGCCCGGAGACTGAGACCGTCACGGTGCCACCTCCAAGCTCAACTCCCTACGTGCCAGAGGAGACGACCATTTACTCTACCATCGTAGTTCCCCCACCAAGCTCCACGCCCGAGGTGCCAGAGTCGTCGTCTACTCCTTGCCCCGAGTCTAGCACGACCGTCGTTGTCCCTCCCCCTAGCTCGACACCTGAAGTTCCAGAGGAGTCATCGACACCTTGCCCCGACACAACTACCACTGTTGTTGTACCTGAGCCCTCCACCTACCCTGTGGTTCCTCCTGTCATTACCGAGTCTGTCTCGGTACCCGAGGTGTCTACCACTGTCATCGTCCCCCCAGTATCTTCTTACTACGCTCCTCCTCCTCCTGTCATCACGGAATCTGTCCCCATTCCTGAGGCATCTACCAGTGTTGTGGTTCCCGGTCCTTCGTCCTCTTACAAGGCCACTCCTCCTGCTTCGTCATCCACCGGACACGTTTCTTCAGCTACCACCCCCGGCTATCCTGAGTACACTGGTTCCGCCAGCTCCACCAAGCCCCTTGCTGCCTTCATGGCTGGTGCCGCTGCTCTCGCTTACTTCGTCTAAGCAGTTAATCATTATCCGCCTCACCACCGAAAATCTTTTGTATAAGATGTACAAAAGGACACTTCTCACCTTTCTTACTCTCTTTTATCGCAAGAATTTACCCAGCCCCCTTTTTAATCCCCTACTCAACGACACGGCACAAGCATATGGAACATCGACGGGTTGAACACTTCGACATCCCTTTGTAATCTTTAATGACCTCCTTCTATTCTTTTCGGTGGCGTGGCCCGACTATGGCGATTGTGTTGCATATTCTGGCCATGAGCATTTTCATTGCATGGTATCGGCCAGCATTTATTACAGTGTCCTGCGATACGCACTGCGCGGTACGGCTTGGGGTAAATCAACTGATGAAGCAATGAAGGTGACCTTTTGCTTTAGTAATCGAGAAAGCTCGGGCGGTTGGAGTAGTAATCTATAATAAGGTCCACCAGCTTCTAAACGAATATACTTGAGTGTCTGACTTGTACAACATACTGTTTTGCAGTGTCAAGACGCTATGAATGATTATGTTTGCAACCTACAATACTTTGAAATTTATGGTTATACCGGACAATATATGAACGTATGGTCTACATTAATCTAATCACATACATGATGTATATGCTTATATTGCTGTAGACGGCAATAGGCTTGATAACCATACAAGTAGATTGCTTTGTGAATGTGGTATACCCCGCCATTGAAGTTTTCACAGAGGTCAATATCGTGGTTGGTGTGGTCACCGTCCAACCCCCTATTCAAAGACACCCACAACAACACAAAAAGAAAAGAAGGAATTCCATCAGTATATATATATATATCCTCAAAAAGCAAAAAGAAAGATTGTGATGGTCACTACGAGGGTCGAACTCGCGACCTTGGCGTAAACGAGTCCTATTAGCACCACGCTCTAACCAACTGAGCTAAGCGACCAAGTTATTGGAATTGTGAAAAAAATCTCAAAATATATTGGCGGGCGCATTGGTTGCGCCAGCTGCTCATCAGACCCATTGACTAGTTGGTAAAATCCTTCTTTGGTGCATTACCTTCTTCCTTCCCACTTCCATACTTTCGAACATGTTCCTTGTTGGCGCCCTTGTCTTGCTCGAATTCCTTAAGCTCGGGCGTGTCCATGTGCTTTACCACGTTGTCCGCCTGCCACTTCTTGAAGCTGAAACCCACTCCTTCATGACTGTAATCCTTGTCGTTGGCCTGGTCTTTGTGATACTTGATCTGCATAAATTCGCTGTCCTTGGTCGCAGGATCCAGACTAAGCGTTACCAAACCGGTAATGGTAGCTGTCTTGGGAATCAGACGGAAGGTCCAGGACTGCTTGTTTTTGAACTGGATGACATCGTCGTCGGAACGGATTACTTGGTAGGATTCATTGATTGAAGCGTTGAAGAGCTTGGGAAGGGCGAACCATTGACCGGCCATTTTGTAGCGGTCGTTTGCGTAGACAAACTGGTCGTCGTAGACACAGTCTGATGTATAACGCTTTACTCGTTGGACAGTGGGCTGACAGGAGTACAGGGCGATGATCTGTGGGTGTCATTAGCTTTCTCCTCTTGGGTGATGCGAAGGTATATGCTCATACATCGTCGACTAATGCTTGCCTTTGTGGACTCAACTTGATGCTCTTACTCGGGTCTGGCTCATAGTCTTCACTTGTAGCCGTTTGTCTGGGCTCAAACTGCTCGCCTGGCGCATCGCTCGTCTTAGGAAATCCCGAGTTCGCGCTACTCACGATATCCCCCGTCGCCTGTCCGCTGGCTGAAGTCGACATCTCTGCTCTTTGCTGCCCGGCTGCTAGACGTGGAGGTGGATTGTTGCCAGTAGGGTTGGCCTTTTGTTCCGCGTTCCAGAGTTGTACGGTGAATGCCTTTTGTGGATGTTTGAGAGCGGGTTTGCTAAGAAAGTCCTTGAGGCCTGTTGAAAGAAGTTTGGAGCGAGAGCCACTGGTTGCTGCAGGCATTGAAGTTGGGTTGTCGGGAGCGGAATCCATAGATGCGGTTGTGTACTATATATGCGCAGCCCTAACTTGACGCGTGCATACGTGAAGGTAAGATGACGACAGTGTTAGTTGGTGTTGCTAGATGCGGAGTCGATGATTCATGGGATCGGAGATCGGGAGATGCAGATGTTCACGCGGGCGGATTGCTGTTAGATAAAGGATGGGGGGTTGGGACGCCGTGATCTCCATCATGTAAAAGTCGAGACCAGGGGTTTGGGGCAGATTTGTGGGGAAGAGTTGCGTATGCCATGGGATTTGGTTGTTTCGAGGGGTGCGGGTAGGGCTGATCGGCATCATTCGGGTGTTACGGCATGACGTATTCCAGGTTGCTTCTTCGGGCAACTTTTGACAGTGTGGATCGGTGTTAGCGTGTATATCCTCTCGTTGCCTGTGAGTCTTGGATCCTTCTGTGTACATTTAAGACGAATAAAGATAATATGTTAACCAATAGTCTCTTTACACTACTGATTGGACTCTTCCCGCTCGGTAGGCATGTGAAAGTGGATATTTTCGCGCAAGTACATGTCGGTCCAAAAGGTACGCCCGAGCAAGTGGAAGGAGCGATGGAATGAGTCGGCTGCAGTGTAATTGGAAATCAATAAAGGATCTAAGTCTGTACAAGTGGATAAGCGAAAAAACATGAATATTGAGAAGCATGACTACATGTTTACAGCTTGCTGTCATTCTGCTTGAGCCGAACGAGGCCCTAGTCAAGTTAGCATGGCTGATTGCATGTGTGAGTAGCAAGGATCTTACCTCTTGTACACAGCTCGCAATGAGTGTGCCGTCTTGGGTGTACATCCTCTGGAAGACAAGCCCACGGCCGTCGCCAGCCCAGGGTGTCTCCATCTCGGTGAAGATCCACTCGTCGGCGCGGAAGCTGCGAGGATTGTGGAAGTAGATGGTGTGGTCAAGACTGACCATCATGCCAATCTCAGGCGGCGCGTCAGTGTCCTTTGACGGGTCTTGGCCATTCTTTATACGCTGGATGCGCTGGATATCTGCCTCATCGACAAACTTCTGGCGCTTCAGCTCAGCGTCATCCATCTCCAGCAGTGTCTTGAGCACGTCTTCGTCAATGCTAGACTTTGCGGCACTCTTGCGTTGCGTGGAATAGCGCCATAGCTTGTGGGTGCGCGCGATGGTGCCGATGAAGTAGCTATCAGACATGTAGGCAATGGCAGAGAGATGGGCTTCGTGGCCGCCGGCGGGGGAGATGCGACCGCGTGCCTTGACCCACTGTCGGCACTTTTTGGTGTGAGGCTTATCGGAGTCGTCTGGACGGGGTTAGACTAGGCAAGTTGGGACTGACATGTGAAAGCACTTGCCGTTCTCGATTGGCATTCTCTGACTCTGGAAGGGGCTGTGGCCGCTGGGATGTTCCATGTCGTCCATGCCCTCGTTGGGACCCGGTATGTCTGCCATGGGAGTGACGTGCTCGACCTTTTTTGCTCCTCCGCTGTTCTGGCGCACGAAACTCATGGTCGTGGTGAAGATGACCTTTCCGCGTTGTCGCGCCTGGACGGTCCTCGTGGCAAACGACTTTCCCGAACGCACCCTCTCTACATGGTATATGATGGGTATCTCTGCGTTGCCGGCAAGCACAAAGTAGCAGTGCATGGAATGTACAGTGAAGTCGGGGTCAACCGTCTTCTGGGCTGCGCTCAGCGTCTGGGCGATGGCGGCGCCTCCGAAGATGCCGCGCGCACCGGGTGGATGCCATAGCGGACGCGTGTTGGTGAAGAGATTGGGGTCGATGTCGGACAACTGGGTCAGTTCAAGGACATTTTCGATTTCGGATTGCGAGTGGTCGACGGGCGGAGGGCGGATGAGGGTAGCCATGGTGTATTATGGATGTGTTGGTAGCGAAGAGAGGCAGAAGGTATCACATATATGCGAAGAAGGGTGTTTGAGATTACTCGACACTCGGTCGCGTTCCGGCGCAGCGTGCAACATGCTCGAGCCGAGGCACAAGGCGCATGGTCGCAGCAGCGCTGACTAAGACGGCCACTTGGGCGCGCTGGGGTAAAACGTCATACTGGATGGCCGGTGGTGGCCTGCGCGTACCTGACTTGTCTCAAGCCAATGTGGGATTCCAGGCACTCGACGACAGGGTCTGTTCCAACCATTGGTCTTCCTTTTGGCCATTCTTGAGACGCGCGCGTTCCCCTTGACTGCCCTCGGCGTCGCCTCCACGCGCCTCGTATCATTATAGTGACATGTCGCCGATTGCCACTGCATAGTCTCCACAGCATCCGCTCCATCTCTACTGCCGCCCCCAAGACAGACAGCCAAGGAGAGACACCATGGCGGAGACGAATCCCGAGCTGCGGGCCAAGCTGCAGGAGCTGGACCACGAACTCGAGGAGGGCGACATCACACAGAAGGGGTTGGTTGTCGCATTCGCATCCCTTCCCACGTGCGCTGACCCGTCGCAGGTATGAGAAGCGGAAGACGGTGCTGCTGTCACAGTACCTGGGCCCCGAATTGGCGGCGCAATTGCAGAACGACGTGCGCCATCAGAGCTTAGCCCAGAGCGATGGCTCAGGTTCCCGCAGCGCATCACTCGCCGCCCTCTCTGCCCCAAACCCAAACCCAAACCCAAACCCAAGCCCAAGCCCCCTCCAACCGCCGCATATTGAACTCCCACGACCCGACTCGTACCATGACAGCTCCACCACGGGCACCATGGGCTCTTCCATGGGCCACTATGCCAGTTCCTCGACGAGCACCGCCGGCAACTCCCAGTACATGGCATACCCACCCAGCCAGGTAGGCCGTTTCCAAGAGAAGCAGCTGGGCCTACGCACCACGTCACTGCAGCGCAATGCCTCTCAACTGTCCCAGGGGAGTGAGACCTTCATACCGCGCCCGCAGACACCCGAATACACCTACTCGCGCGAGCCGACCATGATGGGCAACTATGCCTTCAACCCGGACACCCAGCAGGGCTTTGAGAACGGATATGGCTCGCCGGGAGAGGCTAGCAGGAGGAGCACGATGC